AATTAATTATATAGTTTTTTACTAGCCTCAAGGTAGTTAATTATCTGATTAAAGTTAATTTTCACGAAGAAAAAGTAATTTTTAATTAATTTCGGCAATTCATTGTTATTATTGCATTAATCAAAATAAATACTAAAAAAGGCAAAAAATAATTCCGGTCCTAATTACAGTTTAGTTAACTTAAATATCACTACCAGTATTTATTATAAAATTTAGTACGAATTTAGAGTATTTTTAGTTGCTTTTTGCATTTTCTAGTTAATATTGAGAAAAGAATCAATTAGTTGTTAAAAATTGGATTTTAGGTTCAAAAATTCGTGAAAAATTCTAGAAAGTTATATTTTAGTTCCTACAAGCTTATTTTGCCAGAATTTAATTTTTGTTTAATTTTTGCTATCATACATGTTTAATTCCTTGTTAATATTGAATATATTCATTATATTGTTAATTTTCTCTGCCATTCCTCAAGAGACACAATACTCGGGGAAAAACCAAAAGGTTAACTCCGTTTTACTACAACTCCACGAAAGCGGTTATCAGCCATGCGTGTGCTTGGTGTTCATGAGTGCTCTAGAAGTTTTGTCATGCTTCATAGAGGCGGCCCCACCTCACACTCATATAGGTGATATCATCAAGTGTGTACCGCTTTTGCACACCACCCTAAAATTAAAGGCTATGATAATCATTAAGAGCTCTTAGCCAACCCTCTCAAAGAATGTGGTTTCTAGCCTATATCTTACATCATGAAAATGGGCAATTTTTGTTAGGCTAGCAGAACTAAATGGAAGACTTGTTATTACCCATATGAACTTGCTTCATGGGATCTCCAATCACACAAGTTGGGTTCTCATCCTCATTTGTTTCAAAGTGACACTAGTCTCATTTCCTTCGATGTTTCGGTTATCATTTTTCGTCCTAGGGATTCTGTCAAAGGAGTAGCTAATTCCTTCTGACTTCACAAAATTAATGGAAATAATTCCATTCTCAACCATCATTGCACCACTTTTAAGGGTGAATGGATATCTACTATTTTAATTTATCTCATGCGAGTCGAATCAGATGTCGTCATTGTATCCAGACAATACAACGGATAACTCTCAATAAAAAATAACATCGATGTGACAATCTAGTACATCGGATAATTCTCAATAAAATATATACCATCATTGTACCATTACAGTACAATGGATAATTCTCATATAACATCATTGTACCGCTCTAGTACAATGGATATTTCTCAATAAAAACATATCATTGTATCAATAGATTACAACAGATAATCTCAATTAAAAATACCATAATTAATGGTATCTCTCAAATATCTCAATAACCGCCTCAACGCAGTCTAATAATCCTCACTTGGGTAATGAGTATATCGGCTCAACCTTCCGACAACATAAGCTATGTCGGGCCTCGTATAATTCATCAATTGAAATAAACATCCAATAATTTGGGAATACTCATATTGAGTCTCGTGACCACCTCTATTTTTTTAAGTGCATATGAGAGTCATAAGGGGTACTCGCAGGGGTGACATTGAAACGTCCAAACCTCTTTAAGAGTTTATCAACATAATACTCTTGAGATATTATAATACCATAATCCTTCCTTATGACTTTCATACCCAAAATCACTTATCATCCACATATAAGCAAGTAATAATGCACACAACTTTTCACATTTAGTGCACACACACTTATCTACTTCTAGTGAGGTAAAATCATAAATAAATAACACTGCCAAATTTTTCATTCCATTGTTTTGTAGCTTGTTTCAACCCATATAAAAAATTGATCAACTTACACACTTTGTGTTATTGATCAGTACCACATGACCCTCCGGTTGCACCATATATATTTCTTCCTCTAGCTCACCATTTAAAAACACAATTTTAACATCCACCTGATGAAAATAGTTTATAATTTCTAGAGTCATACTCCGTTTGTATGGCCCCAAGACAAAATGGATTTTTCCTTAAGAAATAGTTTGCGAAAAGTCAAAAGTTCATCACTAATAAGATATGCATACAAATTATTTCCAAAAAAAACTCTATCTTTGACTTCTTACTTCTTCTCAAAAGAAAAGGTTCATCATTAAAAGAATCATTTTCTTTTAATGGATCACTATCAATAGAGGGTTCATCACTAAAAGGATCATACTCACTTTATGGTGCAACAGTCTTGTGTTCAAGTTTCAAAGAAAACACATTCTCAAAAATTCGGCATTTTTTAACAACGTATAAATAAATAATCACACATGCATCATTTAGTGTGTACACATTCTCCAAAAGAAAATCACTTTAATATCAACAATAACATAGCTTAACGTATTGCACATTAGCACATTATTTCTTCAATTTAAGAAAATCACATATGTGCTCCACTGTATCAATTTATGCAAAAGTAGCAATATTTTAAGAAAATCACATTAGCTTAACATAGCCAAATGTTATTTTCACTCAATGAAATAGGTAATAAAAATATAGCTAAGCACCCCCACAATTTTAAATATTTAAAAACATGTGCATAGCCCTTCTAGAAATCATAAAGAGATAATTTATATCTCAACCTTTATTTGTACACAATGATTTTATTAAAAGAAACTCGTCTTTTAAATTTAAATAAGATAAAATTTAGTTTATCTCGAAAAATCACCAATAAATGTGTCAAAGAACTTTTACCATCTCTAATCATAGTGTAGATGCTCTAAAAAAATTATATTCATCAAATATATCACGGTTTTCTAGAGGTGCTTCCATGTCACTAAATATCAATCTTAGGATATTTAGGAGTTTCATATATCAAACAAAAATAAAGATCAACTTAAAATGTCATGTAAAACATCAAATCTATTATATCACATAACACAATAATTAACCAATCTTAAGTACGCAGAAGCATCATCATGCAACATTTTAAAATTACTAAGCACAAAAGTCTATCCTTACAATAATCATTTCCCACAAAAACATCATTTTTGGTCATAACAAATTTGTCACAACCAAAAGAAACTTTAACTCCAAATTTTCCCTAGAGAGAAACAGAACTAAATTAGTTCGAATCTCGGGCACATGAAACACATCATTTAGTGATAAAGTTTTCCCCGATGTGAGTTTCAGAAGAAATTTCCCTTTTCCATGCACCTTAATGGTTTTAGAGTCCGCTATGTACACGAGCTCTTCACCATCTCCTATAATAGTAAAGGAGGTAAAAACATTTTTGTTTTTACAAATATGCTTGGTAGCCCCAGAGTCTACCACTAACTCATTCACATCATTAATTTTACAACTGAAAAAACAACCGCAATAAAAATTATCATCACTACAAACCAAGTTTAAACTTGATTTTAGTGGATTGTTGTTTTTCATGGTTGTCATTTTATCACTAAATAAACGAATAACATTTTTCTTAAAAAGTAGAGTTAAGGTATGACTTATTGTAAGTAGCAAAGTGGAAAGACTAAACATTATACGTAGAAGACTTTTGTGAGCGCTTATCCGATTAATATATCTCCCCATGCGGGTGTATCACAACCTACTTCGAAGCGCACATGTAGAGATAACATAGCCTCGAATAGTGCGACGACAACACCTTGTGAGATCATGAGTGCAGGCATATCCGACACCAAATACTTTCTTGAGATTGTTGAAGGAATTGGCCAGATAAACCTGCAAAAACCATTAGAAAAATAATGCAGCTCGAGTCGCGTAATCGTTGTCCTCAAGAAAGTATTTCTGACTACAGAAAACCTTTCCCCAAGATAAAACGAGCTCTTCGGCGTAAGCCGATAACAGAACAACGAGAGTAAAAAATAAAATTAATCCAGCAGAGTTGTTATATATTAGGGGATGTGCAATTCAAAAATAATTTTGTCTCACCTCCTCTTTCACCTGGCCGAACACCCATATACTATCGTATATATGTAAAAGTGTTGCTAAAAACGTTGCTGCATGCTCAGGTTGGAACATTAGAACAATGTTTACATTAATAAACTAATAAATGATATTAACGTTCAAGACATAAAAGTGACTCCCACGTATATACGTTATAAGTATGTTAGTCTTTAAAGACTCAAGGTCTAAAAAGTATTCATTTTTAAACAATGAATAAAGTTAACGTTTCTTAAGGTGAAAGAACATTTAAAGAGCTTACCGTTATTATTTGGAAAACTCAATGATCTATCATTCATTTTTTTAATAACATATACAAAAATATCTAATTTATTAATAATATAATATTATTAGATAATTTATTCATTTGAAATACTCCCAAATATTCCAACAGACTTGAACCAATTTCATTAAAAATATGCGAGGCAGGAAAAACGGCTTCAAGGGTAGTCAAAGATGTAGTAACCTTTCAACTTTTTAGGTAGTGGCAATGTGGCATTACAAGTTACAACAATCGACGACAACAGCAAAAAGCCCTAAATAAGAACACGGAAGATGTCAATTACGTAGCACAAACTCTATATATATTATATAATGAATTGAGAAACTGAATAAAATTCCAGCAGATTGTTTTGGACTTTTGGTGACATTTCTAAGAATGAATATATAGAAGAATATAATTCACATACAGGTTTTTCAATAATTTTTTTGGCTGAAATGACTAAAATTAAACAAAATGACATTTGAGCCTAGTCATGGACCCGGTCCGGTCCGACCGGCCCGGCCCACTACTGTGCAGGACCAGCCCAGCCCAGTTCACTGGTTTACGGTACCAGGCCTGGGCCCAACCCTGCCTGCTAACCGGGGACGATTTCGGTGCGTAAAAATTGTGAACCGGCCCGGCCGGTTCGGGCCCGGTTCAAGCCTCTATTTTTTTTTGGGGGGGGGGGGGGGCTGGGTGATTCCAAGGGGTTTGGGGGTGGGGGTGGGGGATTTAAATAAATAATAAAACACACAAAAAAATAACCGGAACCGGTAGCTCACCGGACCGGTCCTTACCCAAAACCTTCCAGGCCCGGCCAGGCCTAGGCCCAAACCGGAACTGGACTGAGCCCGGTCCACCACTATTTCAGCCTTCATATTTTTACATTATCTTCTTATAGTATGTATGAATTACTCCATACTTTTTAGGGTAAACGGTTTTTCTCTCTAGATAATTCGGCCATTACAAGTAAAAAGAAGGTTAAAATGGAATAGAAGCATCCGTCTAAAGATTGCTTCATACCATTCTACAATCATAGAAGAAGAAGAATAATAGAAAAAAACAAGTGGCTAAATTCATATGAATAAAAAAAACTCCTAGAGGCTAAAGCTTGACCGAAACATAAGAGACGGGAATTGGACATCACCGTCCCTCACATAAAGAATAGCAGGCTGCAATCTACACTTCTTCCCCAAGTTAAAATTAAGGAATGCTTCCACCTGAAAATGCTCCCAGCTGCTTGTTGGACTTTGGTTCAACCCGCCCAAGCTCAAACCCCACCCTAAACCATCCTCAGGGGTATCGGACATGGAAACAGCCCATTTCACATTTCTTGGCTGTGATTTTTTTTCCATCTGAACCCAACCTCCTATTCTTGTACTCTCGTCAAGACGTGACTCCATCATAAAGGCCATAGATCCATTCGTGTCATCATCTCTCTCTAAAGATTGTCCATTTTGCCTCCAAAACTGAACAGGAAAGATCATGGATCCAAGTCTGGGTTGCTGGTTTGAACCTTTCAGCACTTTCTGTATGCCCATAAGGCTTAGCTTTGTACTTGTGGAAAGTTGGTAAACGATTTGGCCGTAAGTGCTGAAAGAAGAGAGAGTTGTAGGAAGGGTTGTTGATGGTGATGATTGTCCTACGACAGAAATGAACTGAGCTAATGAGGCCACAATATTTGATTTTCTTACCATTATGCCAACTGCACTACCATTTACATGATTCAACATGGGTGGTACTACTGCTGAATAATCTGTCAGGGGCTTTTCCTGAAAAATTAGATTGCAATAATGACAACTTAGGAATTTTTGGTTTCCAGAAAATGCTACACCAAGAAGAAGAAAAAGTTGCTGCACTTTTGTTAATTTTTTGTTTTATTTTTATGTTGGGTTTTACCTAGAAAAATACAAAGGAAAATGAAAAGTGATTTTTTAAGTATAACTTCTTAGTCAACAAATGTCTACAATAAATTCATTGAATTCTAGCTCAAGTTTTATTTTCCCCTGCATTTTGTCCCTACTTATATTTGTCCTTGGTAATTTTGGTATTCTGAATGGACCAGCAACTTTTAGACAAAAGACAGGATGTAATATATAACTAGTATGCAAATATTTTCTCATCGAGAGTACAATGTATATTGATCCATAATAAAAGCTTGTTTAGTAAGGAATTACTTAAGTTGTGTCATCTGAGTCATTTAAAAATTATTTGCATAAGTTTAAGAATACATAAAATGTGAAAATAATGGTAGAAGTATCAAGTTCAACCTTTTGCGTCTCTTCAGCAAACATAGTAACTTCTACCATGCTTTATTTCATTACAAGTTGGTGTGGGGTGAAAAAATGGCTTATAATTTAGAATGTTTTGACTTGGACTGTAATTTTCTGGTCTGATGTGTTCTATTTAAGTCCGGCCTGGTCTGTACTTGTTACGTAGATGTGTTTTACAACTGTCCAAGTTGGGTTTGTCTGATCTGGGACCAAAACCAATCCAAGTAAAAACATCGTTATAAGCCAAAATGAAGCAATCCAAATGAGGTCTAAGTAAAACAGACTACAAAGAAAAAGTAGTTACCTCGTGAGGAAAACTTGTATCATCATTGAAATCCCGACACCGAGCACCCACCGGAATAGCCACGGCAGAGAACCATTTGCTCATATTGGCACAAAAAAGAACTTTAGCCAGAGAAAGTGGAGCCCACAATGCATCTTCCCTACCTCTATCACCCCCAACAAACTCTGTCACAATTTTATCTCTCTCACCAATGCTTCTTTCAAAATAAAGCCTGGATTCGATCCCATTCTTAATCCCAGCCCTTTGAATTGCATCACATGTTGGTTGATCAATGGTGTTCGTCATCACCAATGCCCCTAGCATGTCAACCTCTCCCTTGACCAAAGTGCCGCCTTCTTGGAAGGGACCCGCTTTGGTGGTTTTATAAAAGGAAAGCAACCGTTCCGCCTTCTCTTGTCTGTCCCTTAGCTTCATGATATCTGAAAATGTTTCCCGTTGTAGTCTCTTCAATATTTCGATCTGGAAAAGGATATTTATCACTTGGAAATTAGAATTAGTTGTAAAGGTAGCTCACCCATACAAGGTTGTATCTATTGAAAAATCAAGTTTCACGAACTCTAGCAAGTGAATGAGAAAATTAAGGAAACTAATTGTCATTACTAGTATGTTCACCTTGGAGGTAGTTTGGCAAGGCGAGCTTAGGTGAAATGGCTAAAGTTGTAGTTGAAATTGTAGAAATGTCGAAAAAGGTATTTGAATTTGATAGAAACCTCCAAATTCCAGAACAGTTTACAGAAAGATTAATATGGAAACAACTGAAATCTTATTGAAGAAGATGATGGATTACAGAATGAAATAGTAACAAAGGCCGAAGCCTCCCAAAAGAGAAGAGAAATAACTCTCTAATCTTTCCCAGTCCCAAGACCTAAGTCCCAAAAAGCCCCCTTATTACTCCCCCTTCCCGTCTATTTATACTAGCAAACTCACAGACCCTTATTACTAATATTATTATTATTACTTCTATTATTAGTCTAATAAGTGGGTTCCTATCAATACTCCCCCCCCTAAAGAACCACCTTGTCCACAAGGTGGGATGATAAGAACCAAGTCTGGAACTCCGCTTCCTCCTGGTGCCTCTCCCCTCCCAGTACCTCGCTGATGGTGGTATAAGAAGTTCCCAGACTTCTAGACCTCTGGATGAGAAACTCTTGATCATGCTCAACATTGCATGTCCCTCAGACTCCTTCCTATCTCTTGAGTAAAACATCTCACTGCATAGCTCGTATAAAACTTCATCCACACTTGTGTCATTAGAAAGTTCATGAGAACTAGCATCATACTGTGTTCCTCTTTTTGAATTTAAGACTTCAACAATCTCTGGTATTTCCCCATCATTAAACAGTAATAGCATTTGTCCCATTACACTGCATATCCGGATGTCTTCTTTAAGAACATGCTTATTCTCCTTGAGTAATGCACCCATCAGTTGAATTGCAGAAATATCCAATGCCGATTTAAAGGAAGTAACAATTTCCAAAGGACCATAAGTCCACAAACCAAGGCTGTTCTGTCCCAGATAACTTCCTGACCCTTCAGAAGATCTTGCCAGAAAATGGACCTGATTACCATAGAGTATTTCTACAAACTTTGGTGCAACAACTTCGCCTATAGTTTGCTGATAACTCTTAAGAGCCATCTTCTGTAATACTCTTGTAAAGTTGTCCAAAACATTAGGAAGTGATAGGCTATGAACAGTCTTTGCAGTGATGTCTCCCAAATTTAGATATCTTTCTAATGCTTTCAATGGTTTATGTAGGCCAAGCTTGGGGCAGCTTCTCATGCTCTCAACAATTAGCTGTAATTCTATCCCTTGAGCTTCTGATAAGATTTTAACACTTAAGATTGCAGGTTGCAATGTATTTCTGCCAAGATGTTGGAAAGGATTAGACTTATCAGCATCATGAATCTGTTTGCGGTTTCCAAAAATGATAGCAGGTTCTCCTGAAACAAGCTTAACCTCCTCCTCCTGAGCTTCTGTACCCGATCTATTTTTACCAATGCATAATTTTTCTGAAGACCTTTCTCTTGGCTGTAAAGATAGTTGACTTTTGACAAGAACAGTTTCAGAAGCAATTAGAGCTCTATTTCCAAAAGAACATGGTTGAATAAGCTTGTTAGCAATAGAAACTTGGTTGGAAATTAAATCCACCTCCTATGCAAGATTAGAATAAACATAATCTGGCCCTTGAATAACCTGTCGTTTCTCCTTGATTTCGTCTTTCTTATTCACTTGCTTGATTACAGGTTCAGTCGGTTCCATCTGAACCTTCTTTGTTGACTGGGAAATTTCTAGTGCTGATTGAGAAGCTTGTGAACGAGAAGTTCTTGGCGACCTCAATGACTCCTGTTTTGATGATTCCTGCAAACTGAATGAAGAAGTTCTCGATTGCGAACTGGAAGAAGTTCTTCTTGAATTCGATGAATCTCTGCTTTCTGTCTTCCCTGTCTTCGGCTGGCGTTTAGGTGGAAACTCCCTAATCAAGTCTTCCTTTAGAGCCTTCCAACTATCTTCCCTCTTTTGATACTCCCACCACCATTTAAACCAGCCACACGTGGCTTCCCCCATAGCCTCTTCTGCGACATCCACTTTGAATTTTTCTGCAATAGCTTGAACTCGGAAATATTTTTCCATCTTCTCTATCCATTCATACGCTTCATCCTCGTAGAATAGAGGTAATTCCTCTGTCTGTGAACTAGCTGACTTCCGAGAATTGATCTTAGACAAAGAAGATGAACAGTGAAAATCCTTTCGTGAAGAAGAAGATTCTCCTTTCGATCGTGTCTTTCTTGAACGCGAACTGCTGGCCGGTGAGGAAATCTGCGAACTCTGAGAAGGAGTTCCCGATTGAGAACTTAGAGAGAAAGTTCGCGATTTCGTCTGTGACTCCCTCTGCGACGGCGGATGTTGTCTATAATTGCTCGATCGATCTTCAGTTCTCCTTCGAAGCCTCTGCTCTTCAGAATCCTTTGAATTGCGATGATGAGAAGTGTTATGTGATGCGTTTGACGCATGCGATCTGCTTCGCGATCGATTTTGGGTGTTTATCTCCCCAATTTCGCGATACTTGTTTGTAACGCCGCAAAACTCGCCGCCATATTAGTCTGAAACTCCCGCAGACTTTTATCCATAATCCTTCCAAAATCTGCCAAATTTCCCTCCACTTCGTTGATTCGTCCTTTCATCTTTGCGATCATATATCCCCTCCAGCGATCGAAGGCTCTGTTACCAATGATAGAAACCTCCAAATTCCAGAACAGTTTACAGAAAAATTAATATGGAAACAACTGAAATCTTATTGAAGAAGATGATGGATTACAGAATGAAATAGTAACAAAGGCCGAAGCCTCCCAAAAGAGAAGAGAAATAACTCTCTAATCTTTCCCAGTCCCAAGACCTAAGTCCCAAAAAGCCCCCTTATTACTCCCCCTTCCCGTCTATTTATACTAGCAAACTCACAGACCCTTATTACTAATATTATTATTATTACTTCTATTATTAGTCTAATAAGTGGGTTCCTATCAGAATTACATTTTTGTAATGAAACAAAGAAAGTCATAGCTAAAAATGAGGGTGCAACTGTTACTGTCATTCATTTCAGTAACTAAGAAAAAAAGGCTCAACTATTTTTCCACTAGTAACCAATTCAGCTAGAAGCCTGGAACATTCAAATAAGTTGGTCATTTGTTAAAATTTTGGACAGATAAGATTGATAATGCACACAAAGAGATCACCAAAGACACTTGGAGTTTAACAGTAAGCTGTGCTTATTTATTTTTCACCAAAAAGATTCTCATGCTTGAGATACATATTTACTTGCCAACCCAATGCCCCGCTTCAATGCACTTATGACATTCCTAAAGGTTTTTGGAAGGAGATTTTTTTGAGGGAAAGGCACTAAGAGATTAGTATATATCTTGACAAAAACTACCTCCATCCCTCTAAGATTTTGCCAATTTGGAACAAGGAGTGGTATGATTATTACGAAAAATAGAGCGATGTTGATTAAATTGGTAAAATGTGAATAAAGTAAAAAAGAATTAGAACCACACGAAAATATTATCAAATATGATACATGACAAAATTAGTAGGACTGATGAAAGGGAAAAATGGGACAAAAATAGTGGGATGGAGGAAGTATGTGATTTTATAAAAATAGAAAGATTAACTAAAAACAATCTATTCGACTGAGCCTTCCAAATCATTTCATTCAAACAGATACTTCACCAGTTCACTGCTAATAATGCCCATCTTTCTGAACTCTAGTTGAAAAGCACAGTATCTACCTTCCAGAAACACAATTACAATACACATTTACAATAAATAAGCAAATTTGCAAAACCCATTAACAGAGCTTCTAGGGGATGAAAAAACACCACTTTTGTGAATATAAAAATGCAAACTTAGTTAACTTGATAAAAAAAATAAGGAGTGCTTGATATGAAATAAAAAGAATACCGGATTGCGCCGGCGGTTGGAATTCTGGTTCAAGTTAAGTATGTTAGAAGCAAAGTCTTTAGTCGATTGAGCAACAGCTTTAAGTTTTTCAACCACCATGGCTGCAGGCTCCATTACTTTGGCAATCGAAATACCACTTCTTTACAACTGAGCAATCAATGGAAAACAAAACAGAGCACTATGGGAGATGTTTGCTCGAGGCTTCAGGACAGACCGTGGACATAGTAAAATGATCTGCTCAAGCCCAAAACCAATCATCGAAACTTTTATAGCCAGAAATTAATAAAAGTAACTTAAAGCTCATACAAGATTATGGATGTTTTAATTGGACTGATTACAAGCCCAAACCAGATCAGACAGGCTAAACTTCAACAACCACCGGATCAGGCTTCAACAACAGTAAACTATGCATAAAAACATCTAACAGACAAGATAAAAAAAATTCAGTCCAATTAAAAATGTTCTAAGGGTGCTGGGGGATCTAGCATTTTAAAGAATGTGCGCCAAAACTTTAACATGTACTGTATACAGTAACCTTAATTGCTTAAAAAATAAAAAATAAAACAGTGTACCAAAACAAGAGCGTTCATCAAAGTCAAATAGAAACAATACATCACAGTAGTTCTTTATGAGTTTTCATAGACTGATACCACTTAGGGATAACTGGATAACACTTTCTAGGGGATTAGCATTAAAAAAAATTAAACTAGACATAGGTAAAGACTTAAACCCCATGAAACACAAACATGAGTAATTGTTAACCCATTTTCTACTACTTAACCTGATTACCTCCTCAACCATTTAATTGAATACGCACAAACTGAGTAGAAGTAGGCAGAGTAGTAAGTAGAAGTAGATGAACGAATTAGTTGAAAAAACGAGAAAGTTCTTTTTACCTGTCTGAATTCGGAATCTTATGCAGCCGGCGATTGGGTGAACGCTGAGTGCAGGGCGCGGTGTGGCGGCCGGTCGGTGCGCCAGCGCGTAGCGGTGTGAGCAGGGAGGTCAGCGGGCAGCGGTGTGAAGAGCACACGTGCAGGGTGCAGCAGACTTGCCACATCTTTCCTTGGCTAGTCCTATGGGCCGGTTCAAATTTCTCTTCATTTGGGCCGAAAGACAACAACATAATCAACATTCAAGTGTAATCGAAATTAAAAATACGATAGATAAAGATATAAAGATATTATATTTACACATTACTAAATAAAATTTCTATTTTTTCAACATAAATAATGCTTTATTCCCATAGAACTAAAATATGTATTTTTTAGTTTTATATATAAACATTTCTATACCATCAGAATATATAAATAATGCTTTATTACTAAAATATGTATTTTCCGGCTCAATTAACTTGCAAAAATCATTTGATGACCTTCCTGATTGAATTTTTTTGCTAAAATTTGGTTTGGATGAACTAGACTTGATAAGGAACATACACAAAAAATTTGAGCAAAAATACCACCGGGAAGGCCCCCAAAAGGAGGAGGCCGGACGACGCTCCGGTCATAAAATTCCTGACCGGAAGATTATATATATGTTGGGATATTGGGTCCAGGCCCAATATCCCTAGGCCCAAATCCAGGAAGAAGCAGCGGGCCCAAGGCAGTCCAAAAGAACTCTCGAACGGCATTCGGGATAAAATCTATACTTGGAACATTCCGGGAAACAGTTATGCCAAAGCATCAAGGCCAGGTATCGATCGGCGTTCGGGACACTTCCATTAACTAGATCACCTATGGCGGAGATACCGATCGGCGTTCGGGATATGTTCATAAGCAGGATAATGCCAAATGGCGGGGTCCCACACACCGAACACCCTGCCCGAACGGGCAATCAGCAAGTGGAGGCCGCATTTAATGCTGGATCATGACGACAGCAAGGGGGGGCATGGGTGCATACATGGCAGAAGTGACAGCCTACCAGATTTGACCACGTATCCCCCTCACCCATCTCCATTTTAGTATAAATACCCATGTTTAGATCATTGTAAATGGTTAGCATTTCAATACTCAGAGCATAAGCAATAGATTTACATCTCCCATCCTTGTAATCTCATATTCAGCTACCGTTCGGATAGTTTCAGTGTAATTGCTTAACTACTGAATATAAGTAAGTTCTTGAGTTGGTTATTATCTCATTACTTTATATTTTATACACATTTTCGACCCTACCCCAGATCCCCACAATATCCAAGGCTTGTGTTGGGCTTTCGGATCTTCGGGAATAAACCTCAACATTGGCGCCGTCTGTGGGAAACCACACTAAAAGTCCAGGCAAAGCCGAGATCTAAGCACCATTTTTTCCTGAAAATGGCTAGACTTACTACCGCGACACCGAGTTCTACGTCCAGAGGCCGAGGAGGCAACAGGTCCTCTGAGGGGTGGTCCAGGCAAGGACACGCCAGTGGCAGTGCCACCCGGGAGTTCGAACAAATCATCCCCCAGGATGTAAGGATGAACCCTCAGTTGATGAGGGAGATGACGGAGGCCATGCAACGCATGGCGGACGAACAGGAATGGGGCTACACCGATGAAACTCATGAGCCACCATCCCCGTTGCGTCCCATGCCATCTTTCGACGAAGAGGAGGACATCGAGACTACGATGGCCTCAGTTCATTCCGAGGAACGCCGCAGGAACCACTGGAGGGCCCATACCCCCAGACGAGGAGCACCAACCAGCCGAACCCCGTCCGCCCCTCGAAACGGATACAGGGAACCTACCCCCATGGTAGATCCCGTTGGACAAAATTTCCAGTATATCCAGAGGGATGGGGAACGCTTCATCCGGAGGAGGGCTAACATAGCTGCTCCGCCCCAGAACAGAATACCGGAATATGCGGATGCTCGAGTACCACCCACTCCCCGAACGGCCCAAGACGACGAAATGGCCGAAATGAGGAGGCAGATGACTGAGCTCAGAGAGCAGGTCAATCGGGCGCCCCAACAGACCCCGCCAGCACGGGTTGGGATCACCTCTCCCTTTACTAGGGAAATCATGAACGCCGAAATCCTGAAGGACTGCCGTCCCTCGACCGGCTTGGCATACGATGGGGTGGGAGATCCCCACGTACACCTGAGGAGTTACCAGGGTGGCCTCATGCTATTGGGGGCCACCGACGCGGCAATATGCAGGCTGTTCTTCAGTACCCTTCGGGGACCAGCCCAGGAATGGTTCGGAACATTACAACCCGGGTCGATCGGGAGCTTTGCGGAGCTATCCACCTTGTTCTTGGCTCAGTTCGCCTCCAGCACAACCCCGAAATTACATTTCGGGTATCTAACCAGTGTGAGGCAAGGGCCTAGAGAATCAATCTCCGGATTCCTCACCAGGTGGAGGACCGAAACCCTGAAGGTGACCGGCATGACAGATGAGACTGCCATCCTTCTTTTCACTGATGCCCTTCAGACGGGAGATTTATATAGAGAGCTGAAGAGGAATCCGGGGACCAGCTACCCAGACATCCTGGAAAGGGCCAGGAACTATGCGGCTCTGGAAGAAGAGATCAGGATAAGGGACCGAACGGCCCCGCAACCTCCCACTTCAAGACTGGCAGAACGTCTGGGACCCACACCAGCGGCTGCAGCACCTCATCGAAGGACTACGCGCTTCACCCCCCTGGTCATGTCTATAGCTGGTGTTTTCCATTTGGAACACAACGCCATTCCTCCCCCTACTGACACAAGGCCCGTGATGGGACCTACCCCAAGCTCCTATTGCAGGTACCATCAGCGGAATGGGCACCTCACGAAGGATTGCCACGCCCTACATATGGCAATTGAGGACCTGATCCAAAAGGGCTACCTGAGGAAGTATGTCAGCACCAACCTGAACAGCCCTTCCCCCAACCAGCGCCCTCCCCGATCCAATAGCTGGAAGAGGGATGCTCAGCGGGATGCAGAGCCCAGTAATGATTCATACCTTCCCCCTATAGAAGAGGCTGAGGGGTCTGGGAATCCGGGAAAAAAGCCACGGTTGGAGGTAAAAGTCATCTTTGGTGGAGGGGAGACCGGTGATACGGCCGCCGAACGTAAGAGATTTGAGCGCAACCTCTATGTCGCCACTGTAGCTGCACCTCCCACAAAGAAGGGCCGCTTGGAGCCAATAACGTTCGGGGTGGCTGATCTACCCAACTCACCAAGTCCGCACAGGGACGAGTTAGTGGTGAGCATGTGTATAGACAACGCCTTGATCCACCGAGTTCTGGTGGACACGGGAAGCAGTGTGAACGTGCTGTATTTACGCACGTTGGAGAAGATGAAGCTGAAGAAGGACCAGCTGACCAAGCTGAAGACACCGCTGGCTAGCTTCACCGGCAATGTAATAGAGGCAGAAGGCACCATCCAGCTTCTGGTAGAAATTGGCGATGAAATCCACCGAGCGGCAGTCCGGATGACGTTTGTGGTGGTGGATATTGCATGTGCCCACAACGCCATATTGGGCCGTCCGGGGCTAGAAGATTTGGAGGCAATTGCCTCTGTTCGACACTCGTGCATCAAATTCCCAACTGACACTGGTGTAGGAGTGGCTCGAACAGATCCTGCCATAGCCCGAACGTGCTACCGGGAAGCTTTGAAACAAATGACCACCCGGGGGGCAGCGGGTAAACAGCATTGAGGTACAGACCCGGCGTACGGAGTTCGAGGGACGCCCCGAGCCAGCCACCCTCTTAGAATACATCGAGCTTGATTCCCCTCCCGATCGTAAAATTGCGATCGGGGTGGACCTTGAAGGGGGAATCAGGGAGGGGGTGATCGCTGTCCTGAAGAGATTCCAGGTCCTATTTGCCCGAGGACCCGAAGACATGCCGGGAATTGATCCGGCCCTCATCTGCCACAAGTTAGCCGTTCGGAATTCACAACGGCGGGAATTCACAAAGCAGGAGGTAGCCACCTTACTGAGAATCAGGCACATTAGACCAGTCATCCATGTCGAATGGTTGGCTAATGTGGTCCTTGCTCCAAAAGGAGCTACTTGGAGAATGTGTGTGGACTACTCTGATCTGAACAAAGCCTGCCCCATGGACCCCTATCCTGTCCCACGAATAGACCTGCTGGTGGACGAAACGGCAGGATGTGAACTGCTGAGCTTTATGGATGCCTTCCGGGGTTATCACCAAGTCTTCATGCACCCAGATGATGCAGAAAAAACTGCGTTCGTTACCTCGGACGGTGTGTTCTGCTATATCGTCATGCCGTTCGGGTTGAAGAATGCAATGGCCACTTTTCAAAGAATGATCGGCATACTCTTCAAAGAGGTACTAGGGGTAACCATGGAGGCATATGTAGATGACATCCTAATCAAGAGCAGGAAGAAGGAGGATCATGTCCGGGATATGGAAAGGGTCTTCGGGATCATGCAGAAGGCCAACATGAGACTGAATCCAAACTGGAATGCGCCGTTCGGGATGATCATGCCCCGGGCATCCCTGCACACATCCAGAGGTTCGCACAGAAAGAAATACTGACCACACCGGCAACAATGGTTGTGCGGGTAGATGCCGTGTCCTATGCCGTTCCAAGCTGGGTCACTGACTTGACAAATTACCTGAAGGATGGGACTTTGCCGAACGATAAAAATGACGTGTACAACCTCACTTGTATACAGCGAAGGGCCCCAATGTTCGAACTAGTGGACGGACAGCTGTACAAAAAGACGTTCGGGGGGCCATATCTGAAATGCCTTCCACCCGATCAGGCAGCCGCTGTGATGGAAGAAATTCACGAAGGTATCTGCTCCAGCCATCAGGGGCCAAAAACCCTGGCTAGGAAAATTATCCTGCAGGGTTACTATTGGCCAACTATTCAGCAGGACTGTTTTGGGCACACAAAGAAGTGCAAAATATGTCAGCTCTACGCACCAGTACCTGGGCGGCCTGCGACCTTTTACACTCCAATGACCATATCACTACCATTCGCTAGATGGGGGATCGACTTGCTAGGGCCCCTACCTAATGCGACCGGAGGAAGGAAGTACATCATAGTAGGAATTGATTACTTCACCAAATGGGTGGAGGCTGAACCCCTGGCCAGTATCACGGAGTTTCAATGTCAACGTTTTGTTTGGCAAAATATTATATGCAGATTCGGGCTCCCCGAACAGGTCATCACGGATAATGGACGGCAGTTTGTGAGCAAGAACTTCGAGGAATTCCTCACTAGATGGGGAATCAAGCATTCAAGAGCTTCCGTAGCATATCCACAGGCGAACGGGCAGGTAGAGAACATGAACAGAACCATCATGGATGGTATAAAAAAGAAGCTCGAAGATTACGCGTCAACCTGGCCCGAACAGTTAAACTACGTCTTGTGGACATACAGGACAACTCCCCGAACAGCAACCGGAGAGACACCGTTCGCCCTCGCTTATGGATTCCAGGCTAAGGTCCCAACTGAGGTCTTGGTGCCCACTCACAGAACCATCCACTACGATCCTGAGCAGAATGAGGACAATCTGCGTGCTGAACTCCACTTCATAGAAGAAAGAAGGGATCTCTCAGCTTTACGAATGGAGGAATATCACCGGGCGACTAAGAGGTATGTGGATAAACAGGCTAAAATCCGCTCGATCGAAGTCGGAGACCTTGTCCTGAGGAATAGAGAAAAAAGCAAACCGCTAGAGGGCGGGAAGATGTCAAAGAATTGGGAGGGACCATACCGGGTCTGGAAAAAATACCGGATGGGGACCTTTTCCCTACAAGATACCGAAGGCTGTCCGGCAGGGATATGGAACGCTACGCACCTGCGGAAATTCTATCAATAAAAAACGGCTGTTGCCACCTCTTAAAAAAAAAAAAAAAAAAAAAAAAGAAAAAAAAAGAGGGAGAACAATGCTTCCAAAGAGGCCAGAGTTGAGAGGAATATTGCGAGCCGAACGGCATTAACATGCCGAACGGCATCACCACAAACTCAGCCAAAAGTCTCACCCTGATCTATAGATGTCATTTATCTCGATCAATGGGGAGCCATCATCTCAGCACAAAAAAAAAAAAAATATATGTGCAGGATACCAAGCCCGGACTCGGCTTGGGAGATGGTGTAAAAGATCTTGAGTAGGACGAACCGGGCGGCATCCGAAGTCATAGGGTGACCGAGCGGGGGATCGGGACTCTGGTCTTAAAATCTTGCCTTGGCCATACAGCTCGCCTGAACATTATGGTGGTGGAACCCGAGCTGTATCCTAGAGGCGAGTCTCCATTTTGGCAGAGAATAAGGGGGAGACCCGAATTGGGAGCCTTATTCTCAACGGTCCAGGATGGACATCTCAACCTCATAATATGGGTGACCCCGGACGGTAAAACCGACGGTACGCATCGAAATTATGGGCTTGGAAGATGGCAGACACTACACGAATTGTGGAACTGTCTTGCAGCAAGAGGTGATTGCCTTGCGGACAAGGAAAAATGCGGATGATAACCCGAACAGGTTATTTTACGCGTCCAGGGAACAACCAGTCGACGGTAATAAACCGGACGGCATGCATCTGAAACATGGTGCTCGGGGGCGCAGCAAGCATTTAACATTAATGGCTTACGCGTTCAGGGAACAACCAGTCGACGGTAATAAACCGGACGGCATGCATCTGAAACATGGTGCTCGGGGGCGCAGCAAGCATTTTAACACTGGTGACTTGTGCGTTCAGGAAATAAAGAACAACAGACGGAAATAAATCGAACAACTTGCACCTCAACTTTGGTGTTAGGGAAGGGCCGAACAGCTTACATCTCAATCATGATGCTGAGTTGAATAAAAAAAAAAAAGTAAGTGTTCGGGAAGCAAGTCATTCGGAAACGGATCAATCTTTATTCTTCGGCACTACTGGCCGGGAATTATACATGGGGAGAAGAAAGGGGGATTACAACAGAGATAACTAAGCTACGGGAGGATCTTTATTCGGCACAGCATCCGAGTTGGAGTTTGGGGGATTGGCTGAATCTTTAGCCTTTTGCCTCTTCTCCATCACACGTTGATAAGCACGGCAGAATAACGGATCAAAACCTTCCTCCTTGGGGTCGAAGGGTTCGTCAAAAGACTCCTTGATCACCTCCAGGTTCTGGTCGACCAGCATATCCTGGCACTTAACAAGGGTGTCTCTCGCCAGAGCATTAGCGAATGCAGTCCCGGACGGGGTCTCATCCAGGAGCTGGAGGCCATCACGAAGAGGATCCTTACTCTTCTTCAAGAACTCCCCAAGATGCTTTCCAAGGAACTCCCGGGCAGTCTCCTCCAGAGCTACGTTCAAACCTTTACCCCGTTGGAAATCAATCACTGCCTGCTGAGTGATTCTAGAAATATCGTCCTGAACGGGTGCTGCTGGCTGTCCGCCCTCTTTAGGCTGGGTCTTTTTGAACTTGACACCAGCAGCTTCGGCAGCAGCAATCTTGTCCTTCAGCGCCCGGATCTCCCGATCGCGACGCTGGAGCCTCTGCTCCAGTTCGGCCAATTCAGCCCTGGCCTTGTCACCCTTGTTGGCTCGATCTTGGAGATCTGCAGCCATTTTCCTAGCAGCAGCCAAAAGAGTTTGGCTCTCGTCCAGCTCCTGATGAAGGAGGGTCATCTCCCGTTCGGCTGCTAGGAAGGCCCGGTGATAGTATGTTCCGGCCTGTGGAAAAAGAAACAGCAGTAAGAACAAATCCAAAAAAAAAAAAAACAGCAGTAAAAACATGTTATGGAAAGGAAGAACTGAACAGTCGAAGGCATACCTTAAGGGACTCAGCATGGCCTGCTTCGACCAAATCAGACCAATGGGTCAGGTTGGTGAAACCCTCTCCAGCCTTCAAAGAAGTGCTGCACCACATGGAGGATGCAGTCTGCCCGAATAGCGTCCGGCATTCGGCTCGGGGGCCCATGGCGGAAAACTCCACCGTCAACCGATCGGGGATCGGGAGACTATCTGAAGTAACACCTCCCCTGTTGCCCAGCTTCCTTGAAGGGGAGGGGACCGGAGGCATCCTTTCCACAGAAGGGTCCGTCAGATCAATGACATGATCGACCGGGACCAAGGCTCTGCTCACAATCCTTGGCCGTTTGCTAACGGGCCCAGACTCCCGGCCGGCGGAAGAACCTGGCTGAATAGCCTTCTCCCTTCCCTTGCTGACTATGGCGGTGGAGGAGGGAGTAGGAGCAGGACGCTTTATGGAGACGGGGGGAATCACACCTACAGGAAAGAACAAAGAAAAATGAACAAGATATTGAAAAATATACCGAACGAGCAAGTAATGGAAGAATCATACCGATGCCAGCAGCTAGCATCTTAGCGGGAGTCAAGAAAGACCGTAGGTTCTTGGAACCGGCCAGACGGAGCCTTTCGTACTGGCAGAGAATAGATGCATCCACCCTGGGGGAGGCATCCTGAACGGGGTAAGTGTTCCACCGATCAGGAAAAGGAAGCGGCGACCCCACGTGTACGAACACAAATCTTTCCTCCCATTTTTCCGGAGGGGTGGGGTTATCGGTGAAGAGCGAACGGCCAGGACGGGCTACAAGCCGCAGGTACCCGGTGGTCCAATAGGGCTGAACGCCATAGCAGTGCAAAAAGAGATCGGCGCTAGGGGCAATCCCCAACTCATGGCACCAAACAATGAACCCATTCAGGATCCTGTAGGTGCTAGGCACGAACTGTGCCGGCAGTACTGACACCCGGCGGAGGAACTCCACAACGAACGGGTGCAAAGGGAACCGCAGACCAGCAATCAGGGCGTCCATATGCACCAACACACATCCCGGACGGTGTCGCATGGGATGTTTGATGAACCCCGCATTAAACTGACGGGGTGGGGGTAGTAATTGGCGCAGCGTCTGTTCGGCATCTGCTGGAAGGCGTTGACGCTGTTTCCTGATGCAGTGGAAATTCAGACTATAGCGAGGGGGGCGTTCAGGCATACCCCTTTCGTAAACGACAAGGTCATCCCCCGACTGACATCCATCATCAGGGAGGGGCTGTTCGGGATGAAGTGAGGAAGAAGACCCGTTAGAACCCGACGAGCGGGTAGATGTGCCTTGATCTTTGGGGTGAGCTTTTCCCCTCGAAAGGCGAATCAAAGTGGGTGCCATATCTTCGGAGTCTGACGAACCAGAAAAAGCAGACATTAATTGTGAATAACGGAGAAAGTTCTAGAGAGAGAAAGCTTGAGAGAATTCAGAAGCAGCAGAAAAAACTGAAACAAAGTAGCTGCATCCTTATATAAGGGAATACAACCGCCAGGAATTCGAATGAATAATAGACACGTGTCAAGGCGGTTGAGGGAAGTTAAAGCATCCTTTGGGGTGGGTGAACACCCGAACGGGGTTGAAATCAGCAAAGTTCACGAACCTCTTAAAGCGTTTCCCCGGACGGGATATGAGAAAAGGGCTATAAACGTTTCCCCGAACGGGAAGGGAATTTATAACGGTGGTAAAAATGATGGGCGTACCCGAACAGTATGGTCATCTAAACATGAAAAAATGTGACAGATGCAACAGGGAGAGCAAAAGTACATACCGAATACCGGACACAATGAAAAGGGCACAAGTGCAGACTGAACGGTTCATAATACGCAACATGTGACCTGATCGCTTCAGATTACCAACATGCATACGAAACATGTTTCATTATACAAGATTACCAAATCCTGAATTCTAGATTTAACGAGGAGTTCACCCGAACAGGTGACCTGATCGCTTCAGATTATGGAGATCAACAAAGCAACATGAAACGTATTGCGGAGGCGAATTGATAGGTGAAAAACAAATATAAAGTACAGTAAAAGTCACAAAGACGAGATGAGCAGGCAAAAAATTGTATATTCATCGGCTCTACTGGCCGGAAAGTACAAAAACTACTGATTCAAAGGAAAGTAAATACAGATAACGTCTAATCTACTGTTCGGGGTGATCTTCATCATCTTCATCATCGTCTTCATCAGCCTCATCAATTTGCACCACCTCCATCCCCAGGGCTCGCCGGCACTTTTTCATCTGTGCCATTAGGGCGTTCAGGTGACCCGGATGGAGGTCAGAGGGGAAGTCAGAGGGCTGCACCGGACGGCCCAGCTGTTTTTCTAAGAGGGGGAGGAGAGGCTGGAGCATGTGTTGACAGCCTGAGTTGTAGACTCCCCTGGCAAGATTATCGGCCCACTCCTTGGTGATAGGGTGCTGATCAAGCACCCTGATCCCCTCCTTCTGGCGCTCTTCCCCGGCCAGTCTCTCCAGATGCCTCCCGAAGACAGCGGGGAGCTGTTCAGTGGCGTATGCTTCCTTCAGAGCCAGAAACTCCTCGGAAGCTTTAAAAGAATCCCGGACGGCAGATAGATCAACTAACATTTCAGCCGGGCCGTCCGGGATTTGAGGAGGGGCCTCAGAAAATTTGACCTGAGCGGCCTCAGCTGCCGCGATCTTGGCCTGGAGAGAGCCCACCTTGACACGGAGCTCCCCGGCCTCAGCCTCCAGCCTCTTCCGCTCCTCGGCGAATGCTCGCCGTTCGGCCTCCACGGCCTTCTCAGCTGTTTCCTTGGCCATCAGCAGGCCCTGTTCTTTAGCCTGCCTGGCCTCTCTGAGTTTCAGGCTGTATATCCCCGCCTAAATGATCAGAAAGTAAGAAATGAGCGCATGGTAAGCTATTGAACGGAGAAAAGGGGAAAAGTAAATTATGAACATAAGATAAGGAAATACCTTCAGAGCAGTCAGAGCAATACACTCCTCGGCCTCCTCCACCGGTATCGGGGGAAGATTGTGGCCATTGAAGAATCCCGATGTGGACCAGATCTGGCTTGCCGGACAGCCACCCCGCTCCAACATCTCATGAGCAGGATCATAAAGGGAGATCCGCTCGAACTGACTGGCCAAGTCAGCCTGATGGGCAGCCACCTCCTCAGCAGAGAAATGGTGGGACTGCTGGTCAGAAAAAAGCTGATCCATCAGCGTATCAGCATGGGTTTGCTGATCAGGAGCAACCTGCTGCACAGGTTCTACATCCCGAACAGGTTCAGACTGCTCGGGGAGGAGGGGGGCGGATTGAGAGGATGTCCCCTGATCGGCCTTCCTCAACCTTCTCCTCTTTGACTTCCTCTGCTGCTTAAGAGGGGAAGTTGGTGGCTCATCATCGAATCCCACAGTGAAGAGCCTGCTGTCATCCATTGCCGGCTGTTCGGGGTTGTCTCCTTCGGAATCTGAAGATTCGCCTTGCTTTGGAGCTGAAAAGACAAAAGGGACAAATTAGTACCGAGCGGTTCACACGTGGATTAAAAAGTTATATCACACGGGAAGGACCGCCCGGGCCATGGTACTTGGTTTTCAGTCAAGTAAGTCCAGGAATACGGGCAGTACCTATCCCGGCATTAATCAGCCGTTCGGGAGTCAGGTAGGACATAATTTTGAAGCAGCCTCCTGCCTCCACAGCAATGACATCTCTGCTAAGCTCTTCGGAAATGAATGGCTCAGGGGATTTAGGAGGGAATGCGTTCCACTTCCTAGGAATTAAACCGTTCGGGACAGAGACGAAGAAGAACCTATCTTTCCAACCTTTAATGGAAGAAGGGGCATCACAGAACAAAATATGTTCTGGTCGGGAGCTTACCACCAGAAAACCGTGGGACTGCTGGGGGATAACCGAAAAGAAGTAATGGAAAAGTTCTAGAGTGGGTATGACCTTGACATTGTGACAACGACAAATGAAACCAGCTATCGACCGGTAGGAGTTCGGCATTATCTGAGCTGGTACTACATTGTAAAAATTTAAGAAGGAGACAAAAAACGGGTGGAGTGGAAACCTAAGACCGGCCTTAATTGAATCAAAGTGGACCACTACCATCCCAGGGAAATGACGCATTGGGTGAAGCCCGGCCTGGAGTCGGAAATCCACCGAGTCCGGGATCATCATTTGGATTTGGGCCCTATTTTGGGCCGTAAGTTTTTGACGCATCAGCCTAATTAGGGCTAGGTCAAGCTTATGGCAAGAAACGCCGCTTGGGGGACCAGCTTCCATGGCCTCCATTTCACCCCCGGATTTGGTACCATCGGGATAAGTGCCAGATGAAGAGGCATCGTCGTGGGGGATCTCCGCCGGGATAGGAGTAACCTCCAGTGCCAGGCTAGGAGTATTCTCAGGAATATCAACATTTGAGGTAGAACACTCGGAGGGACGAAGACGGGTTGCCATACCGATCGAACAAGGAGGATAGAAGAAAAACAAAGGCCAGAAAGTACCTGAGCAAGAACTAAGGGATAGCTCTAGAGAGGATGAATGGTAAGCCGGAGATGCAAAGTTTCGAAACCCAGAATCAAAACCAGAAGAGCCTATTTATACTCTGTCACGCCGATTCGGCTACCAATCAGAAGAGGACACGTTTTTTGTAATGATGACAGAGACACGTGTCACACAGAGAATCCTTCTCAGGTAATCATGGCGTTTATCGGAGAAGTGAAACGGCAGTTGCCAATAACCGTCAAAATATGCCTCGGGAACCGGCGGAATGCCATCCGATACTCACCCGAACAGCATTCGGGCAATAATCTTCTACTTCCTTATGCTCTCACTACCGTTCGAGACATAGGAAGTGGGGGACTAGTGTTGGGATATTGGGTCCAGGCCCAATATCCCTAGGCCCAAATCCAGGAAGAAGCAGCGGGCCCAAGGCAGTCCAAAAGAACTCTCGAACGGCATTCGGGATAAAATCTATACTTGGAACATTCCGGGAAACAGTTATGCCAAAGCATCAAGGCCAGGTATCGATCGGCGTTCGGGACACTTCCATTAACTAGATCACCTATGGCGGAGATACCGATCGGCGTTCGGGATATGTTCATAAGCAGGATAATGCCAAATGGCGGGGTCCCACACACCGAACACCCTGCCCGAACGGGCAATCAGCAAGTGGAGGCCGCATTTAATGCTGGATCATGACGACAGCAAGGGGGGGCATGGGTGCATACATGGCAGAAGTGACAGCCTACCAGATTTGACCACGTATCCCCCTCACCCATCTCCATTTTAGTATAAATACCCATGTTTAGATCATTGTAAATGGTTAGCATTTCAATACTCAGAGCATAAGCAATAGATTTACATCTCACATCCTTGTAATCTCATATTCAGCTACCGTTCGGATAGTTTCAGTGTAATTGCTTAACTACTGAATATAAGTAAGTTCTTGAGTTGGTTATTATCTCATTATTTTATATTTTATACACATTTTCGACCCTACCCCAGATCCCCACAATATCCAAGGCTTGTGTTGGGCTTTTGGATCTTCGGGAATAAACCTCAACAATATATATATATATATATATATATATATATATATATATATATAATTTCTACTTTTTTGAACTAAATAATGCTCTGTTTTCAATAAAATCCCTATATCTAATTGTTATTCATACCTAGGGGTGGACTCGGGCTGGGCGGCCCGGCCCGGTTACTGTTTGGCCCGGCCCGGCCCGGGGCCCGGTGGGTCCATCGGTTCGGTTTGGCCCGTCCCGGGTGATGGGCGGTCCGGGATCAGGCCCTGCTTTAGGTGAACCGGCCCGGCCGGTCCGAGCCCGGTCCGGGCCGGAATTTTTTTTTTTTTTTTTTGAATTTTTTTTAAGTTTTGAGTTGGATTAGGTATTTTGGGCCATTTGAGATGGTTTGGGGTGGTTTGGGGTTGAGGGGGAGGGGTAGGGGGAAATAGGAGAACCAAAAAAAAAAATGGACCGGTTTGGCCCGGCCCGGCCCGGTTTGGCCCGGAACCGGAACCAGAACCGGCCACCGGCGGTTCAGGCTCGGGCCCTAGTTTTCTGGCCCGAGGCCCGGCCGGGCCCAGGCCCGAACCGACCCGAGTCCACCCATATTCATACCCCGTATCTAAAAAGCACATGTCATATACCCAAATAAGTTCATTGTAGTCATTGAACAATTGAACTTATTTTTTTTAAAGAATTTATTATATAATTGTATATTTACTTTTACTATGAGGGTTCAACTTGACAATTAAAAGTTTAAAACATAACCTCTCAAACCAAAATATAGTGTAAGGCTGTAAGGTATATTTTGCACGGATCCTCTGCCTTGCTTTAGAGCAATGTAGAGTGTTTTGCTTCTTCACAATCGTCCGATCGAAAATTCAACGTCGGAGATGTCGAGGTCCACTCTTTCGCTCATCTTGAGGCTGTCCTCCCCGATGCCTGGCCATCCGATGCGCAAGGGGATCTGCCATGCGGTAGAGGATCCTAATCCATTTTGCACTTTCAATCATCTTCCACTCTTTGGGAGGGGGTTGCTTCTTCTCCAACGGCAGACACGATATAAGCAAGTTGCTTTTGGACGTAATAAAAAGTATATAACCACAATGATAAATTTATTCTACCCAAATTATAAACTTGTAAATCTTTGTTTCAATATAGAACTAGGCAAACCACTTTGGGACCCGATCGGCGGTCCCAGAGCAGTTCTGGCACTATTTGGGAGTTGGGACTAGATCGAACCACTCTAAAGCGTTTCAAGTCCTGGTTTCCATTTTGGGGATCAAAACGAGCGGTTCTAATCCCGACCTAGTTTTTTTTAGGCTTTGATTCGATCAAAATATAAAAAACATTATTGAGAACCGGGTCCGGGATCGGACCAGTTGGGTACCCAGAACCGGCCCAGACTTGAGAAAAATCATTTGGGCCCAAACCCAAGGATTTTTTTTTGATCGGGCAGTCTTGGCTTCGAAACCAGGACCGGACCAACCTGACTCCATGCCTATATGGAACAAGTATGTAAGTTTCCAAACCTGAATTTAAGGATATATTTCTGTTTCTCTTTTAACAAGAAACAAAAATTAGGAAAATAAGTAGTATGCACAAAATATTTTGAGATAAAAAAACAATACGAAAATCAGTAAAAATGAGTTTCAAATTCATGTTTGTAGGTTTCGAAACTACCAATATCATCTATTTTGAATTCATTACATAATTTATTTCAATATAAACAAGTATAATACCAATGTGATGCATGAGAAAAATTATTTTTCATATTAAGGAGTAATTAGTTGAAAGATCCCATTTTTGTAGTTTAATACGGAGTAATATAAAATATAAAATACAAAAAATAGTATTTCACACTTACATAAATACCCAACACATGCTATGGCGCTATGCAGTCATTGTAGAGAATGATTAACTCTTAAGTAAAATGGATTCATATCATCATATCACCATTTCTTTAATTTAGTTTTGTACTTGAGATAACACCCAAGCAAGAGAGCAGATATATATGCAGTTATAAGATTCTTTTCTAATTTCCACCACACTCACATTATCAGTCACTTGGTTCTTCTAACAAGTGGTCGTGGGTCGCGGCTTAGTCCGTGCTTCTTGAGGATTTTGATGTAATCTCTCATGAGAGAGTACTTGTTGCTCCCAAGACGGAACAAGTACTCCCATGTAAAGATACCTGTCTTGTGCATGTCATCAAACAGCAACCTCACGCCATAGTTTCCTATTGGCTCTGCTGACATCATCCCGACATGGCGTCTCCCGCATATCACCTGAAACATACATCATCATGGTTCTGCAACTTAACAAACTCCCGGGCATCAAGTATGGTGTAACATTCGTTCAGCTTAATGAAGATTCATAATTATAAAGAATGACAATAAATTAACTGCAAAACTATCATGCAAGAAGAAACAGTTGCGCAGTGCAGCCTCTAATTATTATACCTTTTCACCCCCAATAGAACGGATCTTACTATCAGCTGCTGGGCTATAAATTCTGAGATATTCAGCTGACAGATGATACAAACTACCATTTTCGAACTCCACCTCAACCTGGACATGATTCAATTTAATAAATAAATGAGTTTTAAATTTCACAAAAAGATCATCCTATAACTATAAAATCCACAACCGTTTGTTGTTCACATATGATAAGTAGATGATTCACATTATGTCGTTAACCCACCACATCACAGTCGTTTGTTTTCCATGAAAATTATTCTAGTAAAGTTCCAGTAGCATCATGATACAACAATTGAGCAAAAATTAGCGAGAGCACATCGTCTAAAAAGCAACTAATTATTGCTGCAAAATGTTACTCCCTACTTCCTAGGTCCCAAAAAGAGACTCTGCTCATATAAATATGCAATGCTGAAGCTATTTTTAAACAAAGTATTATACTACGTAATACTTTATCCAGTAATACGTAGTAAGCAAGAGAAGAAAAGTTGGTTTGACCAAAGTCACCAAACAATAGCAATAAACACTTTGTGTATGATAGAAAAAATAGGACAGATGGAGTATTTAAATTGGTTAAATAGCAGAAATTGATATCAACGAGTGAAACAAAACTTGTGCCCATTTCAATTTCACAAAACCCAGCAAATCTATTGGACTGAAAAAGCATACATAATCAGGTATTTCAGCCTTTCAGGCCTAAGAAAGCTAAACTCCCAAGATGACGACTTTATGGGTTTCATAACCATTCATGTGAGTACTGAAAAATATTCAGGGTAGGAAAGTTATCAACCTCTATATGCTCTCATTGAAATAAGTTTCAGGAAGAGCAATTAACATTATTACAGATTTAGATAAACTTGAATGGGAGCAAAGATGTCCTAAAGAATCTCACACATACCATCTTAGGGGGATGGAAAGTGAACCTAGTGAGGCGAGGACACCCTGCTGCTGTCCGAATCGTTCTGTGCATCCAACTCATTTTCATACCCTTGCCCGATGGACTTGGCAACTTTCCTTGCACAACTCACTGATAATGCTCATGATTTGAGCCCTCAGAGTCAACGAATCACTGGGCTTTGATTTCTTTGAAGTACTGTTGTTCAACTCTGAATGTGTGTATAAACTAACAATGCAGTCAAAAAAATACGCCTCTCTCACTGTTTACCACATACGAGCGACAACTAACAACATGGAATCAAACTTAACCTAGAAAATGGAATAGGTACTGAATCAATACCTTTTGGGACGAGTTGGAAGACGAATTCCCAATCTAGTAATTCTAGGTCTTCAATAATTCAATTGAAAACTGGGGAAGACACTAGGATGGAAATATGGAAGCCTGGTCTTTTCCTTGGATGCCAAACACATAGACGTATAATTCTAGGTCTTTTCCTAGGATGGTTAGGATGGTTAGGATGGAAATATGTTACTCCAAACTTAAATAAATCAGATCAAGTCGAACTTAACGGACTATATTTGAGGAGACTAGATTTTTATAATATGTTATCCATACCTTTAATCACATAGACTAATGAAAATGTTACAGTTAATTATTTAAATCTAAATTAAAAATGATATCATGATGTGGACCAATCAATTGAATGATAGGTACGGTACCCCATTTTTTAAATGAATATCGGAGTTGTCACCTTTATAATTACTTCGTATAAAATAAGAAGAGATAAAACATTTGTCAGACCAAACTAATTCAGACTAGATCAGATTTGATTTAAACAGAATAGACCAAATCAGATCATACTTAAACCGATCCTTGTAAAAACATTTCTAGTAGTAACTTTATAGGCTGATCCCACCCATCTCACCAAACAAATTAAACTTGTTGCAAGTTTATATGTATTCATTCAATTTAGTTTTGATTGCAATCAAGTATTACTATCTTCGTCCCGATAAGATTGTCCCGTTTTACCATTTTGGTCTGTCTCACTGAGATTGTCTCATACCAAATTTGACAAAATTTATGTGGCTCTAAATTATTCTTACCTTATTTTTACTTTATCAATTCAATATCAACCACATAAACCACTTTTTATTAGTTTGCGTGTCACTCCCTCTTGTCCCATTGTTAGTGGGACGGATGGAGTATTATTTAATTCTGATTCTTAATTAAATGACTCCTTTTAATATTAAAAAGATGTTTTTACGTGGCCTGTATTCGGTCCCAGACTAGATCAGATCACACCAGATCAGACTCGAATAGTTGTAAACATATACAAAGATCATAAATTTATCAGATTAGATCAGATCATACCAACAAATTTATGTTTAAGGGAAAATATCATTATATGTCATTTTTGCCAATTTTTTTGGATAGATATAAATTTAAAGACAAATATTTCAATATAATTAGAGTTTAATAAAATGCAAAAATGAAAAAGAGTGTTTTTTTAAAATGGAGTGAAAGTCTTTCGTAGGGCTGTGACTTTGGAACCAAGGACCGGAGAACCGAACCGGACCGAACCGTTATGACCCGGTTCGGTTTGGTTCCAAAATTTATTAGTTATTTGTCAATGGTTCGGTTCCTACTTTTTATTAACGGTTCGGTTCTCGGTTCCTGTAAAAAATATGTACGTGGAATCGTTAAAGAACCGTTATATATAATAATTAAAATTATATATATTTCTTATTAGTATATGTATTGTAATGTATATTTACTTATTTATTTTCATGTTACATTCACTATTTTAGTTCATTTAACTGGTTTTATTGGGCTTCTTTACCGAATATCTTGTTTTGTTTTTGTTTTCTAAAATTTGCGGTTTGTTACGTATTTATCTTTTAAACTCAACTTTTGAGGTTTGAAATGAAATTCAACATATTTGTATTGTAATTTCAAGCGTTGAATGTATTTTTGACACAAATTTAACCGTGATTTGTAAGATTTTTTTTAAATACTAGGAACCGTTAAATGACAAGAACTGAACCGTTAAGAACGGTTCGGTTCCTTATCGGTTCTGCAAAATAATCTATAAGAACCGAACTGTTAGTAAAAATTTCATATTTTAAAAGGGTTCTAAGGAGCAGCCCATCCACGAACGCCAACTGCTAAATCGCCACTTGCCGACCGCCGACCGCCGACCGCCGACCGCCTACGCTTGGACGCCTGCGGGATTCCGCCCTGCCCCTTATCGTCTTCTGAATCCATCAGTCCTCGCTCCTCTGCCTTCTGGAGTTCTGGTGCGGCTGTGCCACCGTACCAGTGGTGTGCTTCCGCCTTACGGCCTACTGCCTACTGCGCTTTAGCGATTAGGATCCCTTTTCACCTTCAGGCTTCAGGTATTCATCGGTCTCCTCCGACCTCCTTAACTCTTGTATTCTTTTATTGACTAGTTCATTATTCATGAATCCATAGTTGCTTAATGTTTCTTAATGAATTGTTGATAAATGATAAATTCATATTCATGATCGTTAATTTTTATGTGTTAATATGTTCTGGGTTGTTGATGTTGTGGTTTGTTGATTAGTTCATACGTAGTTGGGGTAGTTTTTTTGAAAGTTATTAGTTCATAGTTGTTGAGTTGTTGAATTTTAAGTGATTACTATTGTTTATATGTGTTGTTCTGTTATAATTGTTAGTTTAAAATTGCAAACTTATTAGATTTGTAAATTTTATTACTTTCAAGGTGTTTGATGAAATGGTTGATTTTGGATGAGATAAATAAAAAAGAGAAGAGAATTAGAAAGAGCAGCCCTTAAATAGTTAAATCAAAAGAGTTCAATGGAAAATTTTGTTTGGGTCATGAAATGCATTTAAGTATTATTTTTGTATAATCTTTAGTTTTTATTTGATAAATGTGACTCAATTTTTTTGGAATATATAAATGGACTTTTCTTTATTATAAGTTTCTGAAGTAGTTTTATTTTGCATTTTAGTTTAAAGAGAAATGGTTTTTACAAATACTTTTTACAGAATAAGCCCACAAACAATCTGTTGTGCTATTGAATAGTAGATTTTCCAATGCTTATACACGAACAATCTCTATGGAATAACAATTGAATGCACTTTTCTTTGCAGTTTGTAGATGTCTTTCACTCCTTTTTCTATCTAGTCAATAATAAGACTCAAGATTCCCTCCTTGCTTCCGTGCTTCCGGCCTCACTGTGAAAACTGCTCTCCCTCCTTCCCTTCTTTTTTCCTTACTTGCTTACTTTAAAAATGGAATCTTTGTTTATTAGCCTTCCCTGTTGAAAGTTTAAACTGTAAAGTTAAGACAGCTTTTGTTACTTAGAATTGATGAATTGTCAAAAATATTATAAATATGTACAGTGTTCACATGATAAGGGCCTAAGGGGCATTTTTTCTTTTTAGCAATTGCACATTTGCACCTACGCCATAGCAATTCACTTAATAATATTTACGCTTCAAACTATCAAAGAAATCTTTGAAACAATAGTCATTTCATTGAACCCTGAAGGTTAGCCTAATATAGTCCCAGGATCGGTTCACCTTGAATGGAATTTAAGGTACCAGTGAATATACCTTGGATAGACCAACCACCGGTGAAAGGAGTTAATCAGCCTATTGGGTAAGAGGTTATTAGGCTGAAAATGACATTCACAGGCTGCTGACTTGTCTAGTTTTCTGTAAGGAAAAATGTTTGATAATTTTGGTTTCAGCCAAATACTCAAGTTAAAAACTACTTAATTTGTAGATAAGCAGAAAAACCAAGAACCTGCTACTGATTGGGGCAAATGTCCACTTTTTCTTTTGGGAGTTTTTTTTAATTACGTGTCATTAGGGTGTCATTGGTTAATAAAATAGGAAGTATACATTGTTACTAAGTTGATGCATTCTCTAGAAGAAGCATGTAGTAATTTCCACTTTGTATCTACTATTTATTAGGCTGATGCACTTTCAGAGTTTCAGATTTTTCTTTTAAGCAATGCTATTCATTGTTTATTTTGTTTTCTTTTTCGTAATGCATTTTAATTTTGAAAAGATTTCCTATTATCTCAGCTATGTTTCAGATTTCCTATTATTTTGTTTTCGTTTTATCATTTTTGTTTGTTTCATAAGGCCCCAATTCCATCACAAGGCTTTGAAATCATGTTTTGGAAGTCCGTTTTGTTTCTAAGAATTTCATTACCCTCCTTCGGCCTAATAGGCTAATACTCCGTATTACTTTTTAAGTTTTAACATAGCTGTTTCCTCCAATAACATATACTCCGTGCATGATTACAATAAAGAATAGTTTAGTTCATTCTCTTTGTCATGTCATACATTTCATAGAGAACCAATTATTTGTTCAATGATAAATGTCCTTTATAAAGGCAGTATTTTGAAAATCTATATTTGTTACTACAACTCAGAATTAAATTTTAGCACAATATGCATGTCTAATTTTGTTTCTTAAATGTTGTAATAATTGGTACAAAGCACTTGGACCCCATAGTCTATGTGTTATTTTGACGCATATATTCATAAACGTATTATAACATAAAAATTAAAAATAAAGGGCAGACGGGTGCACAAAGGCATCCTCGCAGGGCGAAAGTCCGAGGAAGGGTCCCACCACAATATTTTCCAAAATATTTGTTTCTTTTGAGTTTTTTGTAATTCTTTTTAGGTGTATGAATCACAGAGGGCATGAAATAAAATATCTGCATTTGTATTTTTGTTATTTTCTATTACATTTTAGATACATATGTTTTTGATAGCTTTTATGTTTGTCAAGAGACATTGTTTTTTCAATTTGGTGAGAGTGAGAAAGAGAGCAAAGTGATTACACCACTCCAGGATGTGGGTGGGGATGGATTTTTAAAAGACGGAACTTTGTTACTGCGAACCAGAAGTAGATATCATCATTGTTTGTTGATATTTACAGCTCTCTCTTTACATTTTGGGGAAGCAACAAAACACTCAATACTAAAGCAAATTATAAAACATTTTACAGATACAGAAGCAAGTAAAATGTTATCCAGAATTGCCAGTATTCAGCTTGTGAGTTCTCATCCGGAAGTATATGAACCGTGTGATGATTCATTTGCATTGGTTGATGCATTATTGGCGGATGAGGCTAACTTGTCAGAACACCGACCCAAATTTTGCATGGAAGTTGGTTGTGGCAGTGGGTACGTTGTTACGTCTCTAGCACTCATTCTACGACGATATGAAGTTTTAGCATCTAAGCCCCCCTCATATTATATTGCAACTGACATCAATCCTCATGCGGTGAGGGTGACTCGTGAGACCGCAGATGCCCATAGTGTTGATGTTGAGTGTGTCAATACTGATATTGCATCAGGAATGGAGGGGCGTTTGGCTGGGTTAGTGGATGTTTTGGTTGTGAACCCACCTTATGTTCCCACCCCTGAAGAGGAAGTTGGTCGCGAAGGAATCACCTCAGCTTGGGCTGGAGGTGAAAATGGTGTTACTGTCATCAATAAGATTTTGCCTGTTGCTGATAAGCTTTTGTCTGAGAGGGGTTGGCTGTATTTGCTCACACTTGTCGCGAATAACCCCTCGGGAATATGCCTTCAAATGAGAAAGAAGGGTTACGCATCTAGAGTCATTCTTAAGAGATCCACTGATGAGGAGAGCCTTCATGTTATCAAATTTTGGCGGGATGCCTCTAACTACCCGTTCACCTGGGCCAAAAATTAGTTTAATGATGAAGAATGGTCAAAGAATAAAATGTAAATAATGCATTAGTGATGTTCAAATTTCCCATACCCGGTGACGTCACAAGTCAGAGCTGTCACTCTCTAACAAGCAATGCTTTCAAGGTATGCAGATGATATGCATTTTGTTTAGGCATTTACATAGAAGTGTGCTGTGTGTAAGAACTTGCCATTCAGATTCTTTTGATGGAACGTCGGCTTGTTTTGTAATCTAAATCACTTGAGTGGGAAGAGTGATTGTTCTCCTTAATATTTCTCATATTGTCCAATAAAGCCTCTGAAAATCCTTTAGGATCCTTCAGGATCAGTTTTGGGCTTTTGGCGCATGTACAATTGGATGATTGAATTGTTTTTTAATTTCCATTTAACCGAGGAAAGAGAAGTGTTTTAACCTTGCCCCCAGAGTTGTCGTTTTGAGCTTGTATGAGAAGTTGTTTTGGGCTTCTATCTGCTGAAAAAAGTTGGGGCTTTCCTCATTGTACATAATGTACGCCCTGGCCACATGACTCTGGGAAAGCAATGTGTGTTAGAAATTACGGGGTTCAGAAGGTGTTCAGCCTAGATTTTCTTAACATACAAGCTATATGGAATTTTGCTGATGCTCTCATCTGTTCAAAGGTTCCAGGTCACCTCTTTTAGCCGGTTTGTTTTTGCCCAACATAATATGGGAATGGATTTTGATGCCCAACATAATATGGGAATGGATTTTGATGCCCAACATAATAATTGGAATGGCATAGTTCCTATTGCCAAAACATAGCTATTCTGTTGCAACCTACCCAGTCGGTGATACAAATACTTCGTATATGCTTTTGGTGATCAAGAAAATAATTTCAGATAAAAAAAAATAATAGTTGAAAACAGATACCTGTGATTTCAATAAATATTTACTACCTCCGTCCCAGGGACAAGTTCTCACTTTCCATTCTTGGCAGTCCCAACAAAATGTTCTCATTTCCTTAAATAGAAAGTTATCTCACATTAAAATAGTGCAAAACAGTGCCAAACAGTGTCGAAACAGTGCCAAACAGTGTCGAAACAGTGCCAAACAGTAAAATTTACCCCTCAGTAACTTTATTTCCTTAATATGTGTGAAAGTCAACCCGGGAACTTCTCCCTGGGACGGAGGGAGTATTTGTTTAACCTGTTTCTTATGTTATTTTGGTTCCATATACATACAAGTATACAAACTGGCAGTCATATGAGCCCAGGGAAAAAGGTCACGCCACATGTTTGTTAAAATATCTCAAATGGAATGCAATTAAAAAAAGAACAACCCTTGAATGTAGTACTCACGTCTGATTTGCTTCAACTTCAGCTGGCTTTTACGATTTTCACTTGTATTTTGATAGTTTGCTTTATGTGATGTTCATAATAATATGTAGTAATATAATAAGACTTTCTTTTATAAGGGATCTCCTGTTTGTTTTATTTAAAGGTAAGGTATCGTATTTGTTGCTGGACGAAGAGTACTTAATTATATGCGTCTCAACTGTGATTTTTACCATTTATTGGCACTTTACATTTGCATATTTCAACCATATGTTCCGACATTCCCGTGGAATTAGTCTGAGTGGTGGTATGCTAACAAAGGAGGCCGTGGTCCACAGCATTTCCGGGTCATGGTCGTGGTAGGGAAGGATCCTCATACTCATGCATCACATGTTCATGCGGTTCACATCAGTGAAGCTCTACTTAGACAGTCATCTACCAGACTACCACCATCGACCATGCTTCCATGTTGATGCTTTCTGGTGCTCAATGGAACACTTTGCTAAGTACTACGTATGATGATAAATGGTAGTACACATTCTTGTATAATGGAGAAACTCACATGTACGCATAATCTCTTCCTTTGAATGGTTACTAGACATAGGAGTATTGTTCCATATGATGGGCTCAAAAATATCTTCACTAGTCTCGAAAGATGAATATATTATGCAATTGTAAACATTTAATACCCTGCTATTCCCGTTTCCAGAAACATTTTATTTATCATGATATAGGGGTGTTTGGATCTGATTCTTAAAACTGATTCTGTTCCTTCAGAGAGTAGAAGCAGAAGTTGGAATGTTTGAGTGAAAGTGCAGAAGTGATTCTGGTGCTCTAATTTACTTTGGGGGAGACCAGCTTCTGAAAACTGATTCTGATTCTGCTTCCGCTTTAAAAAAGAAGCAGAAGCAGAATCAGTTTCAAACACCCCCATAGACTAAGTTCTCCAAGTGTTCCCCTCGATCCTCGAAGCCCACCGGCCGGCCCAACTCCCAAAAATAGCCTCAGAAAATGAAACCATCGGGAAAGTCACGAAATGTTTTTACTTTATACTTCCTCCGTCCCACTAAGATTGTCTCACTTTACCTTTTCGGTTCGTCTCACTAAGATTGTCTCATACCAAATTTGATAAAATTCGTATTGCTCTAAATCATTTTACTTTATTCTTTATCAATTCAATATCAATCTCATAACCCACTTTTTATTGGTTTGTGTTTTAGTCCCTCTTGTCCGATTGTTAGTGGGACAGAGAGAGTAATACCCTAGTAATCCTCAAGGCTATTTTCGGAACAAGAGAGGGTCGAAAACATCAACTTGGGGTCAAAATAATATGGGTAAGAGTGAATAAAATATACGGAGTATATACCTTGTTTACCGTGGCGTAGCCATGAGTGTAAATTCGGTTTTAATGTGTTCCATAATTTTAAAATTAAATGAGAAACTTAATTAAACCAATTATATAAATTTAATTAAAGTCTAATCATTGATACATGCGTTTATTATTAGTTCTGTAAGACTGTCACATTAATATAAACCAATTATTGTTTCACAATTAATTAATCTTTCCATACCAAGGATTTTAATTGTAATGGATGAATTTATATCTTCAATATCAATGAAAGAATAAAATATGAAATTTATCAAATAAAAATATAAATACGTACGTTAAAGCCCCTTTTAAATTTTCTGTAGAATCTAAAATTAAATTTCATATACGTACTGTGTACATTACGGAGTAGTATAATGTGCAAAGTATGTGTCTGAAATATATTTAGATTTTTTACTGATCCTGATTTGGATATAAATCTAAAAAATCTAAATGATTTCAATAAAAACTACCAATGCTTTCAATACTGTTTAACTCTTTAACATGCACTATACAAAATTAAAAATTGCTACGGGATTAATGAATTAATTAATTAATTAATTAATTAATGTTTACATAGCCACATGCATAGATAGATAATTAAACACATTTATAAATTAAAGAAACACTACACATAATTATTAAATTTATTTATCCTGTAAGAATTGAAAAGAATCAACCGCTAATTAATTAGTAGATGATGATGTGGCGGCGGGGAGGTGTCTACCGGAAACTTGTCGGCAATAAGAGTCGCAGGCGGGGCGGCATGCTTCAATCGTCGCACCAATTACCCGCATGCATGTCGGCATGCATCCCTTCGCGCAATCTGACATTATAATTGCTGCTTCGCTCCTGCTATCTTTCCAGACCACCACCATCATCAGCACCACCGCTACGAGGATGTTAGCCGCCGTGCCTCCGCCGCCGCCGACTCTTTTCCTTATTGCCATTTTCTCGTCGCCTTACGTAAACGTAATGATCGAAGATGGGAGCTGAGATGTTTATGACAATGGAGATCGAGATGTGTATATTAATTTATTTATAGGGCTGATGTATATATATTTAATGTTATCTCGGAAATATGAATATATGGATGAATCGCAATTTTTCACTTGTGACGAGGGGTTTTGACTTTTCAAGGCCAGACCGAATTAGAACCGCAATTAATGTCCCAAAGTAATTGAACCAAAAACCGGATCGAAATAATTATAGTCCAAGATCGAGCCGGATTATTCCGGTTTTGACTAGACCGAAATTTTACTTTCATTTTTTTTAGATAGTTCATCTTTTAAACAATTAGTTTTGAATATTTAAAACTTATCTTATTAGCTTGAATATACTGATTTCTATTATATGTAGTACTTTTATACTACCTCCGTTCTTTTTTATTAGTCCTCGCTTTGGCACGAGTTTTAATAATAAAGTATAGTAGGGTAAGTATAGAGTGTGTATGGTAAATGATAAAGTAGGAAAGATGGTTTATTAAAAAGAGTAGAGTGATGATAAAGTAGGAAAGAGAGTGTATTAAGAAGAGTAAAGTGATGGTAAAGTAGGAAAGAGAAAGTAGTTTGTAAAAAGTAAGTGGGGTAAAAGTAATAAAAGTGAGGGTATTTTCTAAAAAACTTTCCTTAAAGGGAAATAGGGACAAATAAAAAAAACGTCCCAAAAAGGAAAGAAGGACTAATAAAAAAGAACGGAGGGAGTATTGTTTTATGTATGATGTGTTCAATTCTGATTTAATCTTTTATATTAGAACAAAAAACACCTCGTAATATGATACCTAGCTAGTACAAGAAACTAGATACTATTAATAATTTGTGAATTGTAGTTCAATGAATGGCTTAACTAATTAATTAGCTATATAAATTGAACAAAAACAATTAATCACATATGTATTTGTTAAATATTATATTAGCCACTAAGGGTATTTTGGTCGTTTTATCTTGTATGTTTAGATCTGATATATATTGTACATATACTCCTTGTATGTTCCATATTCATCATCCGGTTATCAATATACATATGTCTACTTCCACACAAGAGCTTCTTCTCTCTTCAATGGCTTTATCATGGTATCAAAAGCTACACAAGGGATCCTCATAATATCATGCGATAGTATGTTTTTCGCGAATCCATTTTTCCGGTTGCTGCTTTGATTCTGGACTGTGGAGATACTGGGTCTCTAGTTTTCCACCATATTTCTCATGCTGCTTTGATATTTGGATTCAAGTTAGTTTTCCCCTATTTTGTGATTCGACATTTGCTTTCATTTGAGGATAGATTTGGAACTCGTTGGACTTGCTAGTTTTGTTGTTGGGTTTGTCAATTTGTTTGTTATCACTATGACCGGGGGAGAGGATTCTTTGCATTCTAATAGTGTCCGATTGGATGGTACAAACAATGCGTATTGGAGCTTTGGGATGATTTTTTTTAAAAAAGAAAAGTAAATGTTGTAGTATATCTCTGGTGCAGCTACCATCCCTATAAAATCCATTGATGGAGAAATATTTGATGAGTTGCTTGATATTTGGGATACCAATAACTCAAAAATTATCACATGGATAAATAACTCTGTTGAACATAGAATTGGTATGCAGTTGGCAAAATATGAGACTGCAAAACAGGATTGGGATTATCTGCAGAAGTTGTATGTTAGGTCAAACCTTGCTGTTCAGTATTAAATAGAGGCTGATATTCGAGCCCTTGTTCAAACAGAGGATATGGGTATTGAAGAACTCTACAGCAAAATGACTATGCTTTGGGATCAATTGGCTGCAATTGAGTCTGCAGAATTGCGAGCTTTTGCTCCTTAAATTGCTCGCAGGGAAGAACAACGTCTGGTTTTGGTTTTAATGGCTCTTCGTAGTGAGTTTGAACTTATGTGTGGGTAAATTTTACATCATACTCCGCTGCCTTATGTGGATTCTGTGGTTCATGAGTTACTTGCCGAAGAAAATCATCTTAAAACTCATACTAGTAAGGCCACCCATGCTTTTACACCTTCTGTTCTTGCTGTTCCCACTACAGACTCTTCTGCCATGACAACCCGTACACATAAATTTTCACAAAATCGACATATGGGGAATCATAATATGATCACTCAAGAATGTGCTTACTATAAGGAGAAACGGCACTGGAAAAATCAATGCCCAAAATTGCTTGAAAGATATCGACAATCTGGACAACCACGAGGAGGATGGGCACCTTAGTCACAATACCATTCTCATACTGGCCATAGACATTTCTCTAGTGGAGGACTATAATATCATTTCCGCCCAACTACAATTGCATTTGTGCCGTATTTGGACCAGTCACCTAGAGAGGTGCCTGTCAGTCAAGAGACATCACTGGCTGACGAGTTTCAGAAGTTCTTAGCCACCTAGTGTTCGCCTCAGTCACATGCCATGTCTACCTCATCCTCCACTGCCTCAGGTTCGTTTTCTTCATGGATTTTAGACTCTCGAGCTTCCCAACATATGTCTCCCAATTTGTTTTCTTTTAGATCCTTTTCCCCTCATGTTTTTGAAACAACAGTATCCACCGCAGATGGATCTCCTATGTCATTGATAGGAATTGATAATGTCCAAACATCAAATATATCCTTATCTGATGTTTATTGTAATCCCAAATTAGCCATGAATCTTACCTCTGTTGGTCAATGATGTGATTCTGATAATTCTGTTCATTTTTTCCCTTCCACATGTCATATACAAGATCTCAAATCCAAGGAGCAGATTGAGACCGACCATAAAGATGGGGGGGGGGGGGCTATACATTTTGGATAGGTTGCACAATGCTAGACATGTGACTGCCGCAAGTGTCGATTTATCCAAATTTGATTTGACTTCATCATCTTCTAAATTTGTATTATGGCATTCTAGACTTGGTCATGTTTCTGGACCTCGCCTTCAGTTATGATTTGTAGTGGTGTTTTGGGAACTTTGAAACCTCATTATATTCTTGTTTGTGGTGGATGTAAACTTGGAAAATTTTCTGCCTTACCTTTTAATCTAAGCGAGTCTAAGTCTACTGAACCTTTAGATTTGATACACTTTGATGTTTGGGGGCTTGCCCCTATTACCACCAAAGTGGGGGTCTCGATATTAAGTTTCTTTCATTGATGATTACACTTGTTATTGTTGGGTCTATCTTATGAAACATCGTTCTGTCTCTTAAATATATACACAACTTTTCAGTCATATGTCAAGACCCAACACTCTTTTGTTGTCAAGTATTTTCGTTCTGATTTAGGTGGAGAATATACTTCTGGCAATCTTTCTAATTTATTTGTTTCTGATGGGACCACACACCAATCTTCTTGCACTGATACCCCACAACAAAATGGGGTAACTGAAAGACAACATCGCCACATTGTAGAAACTGCTCGTTCTATGCTTTTGTCTGCTAGTGTTGCTAGCGATTTCTGGGGAGAAGCAGTTCTTACTGCTGTCCATTTAATTAATATGATTCCCACAACTCATAATTTAGGTATTTCTCCATATGAGAATTTGTATGGCCGTACTCCTGACTATTCAAACTTGAGAGTTTTTGGAAATATTGTTTCGTTCTTAAGCTTAGTGTTGAATGCACTAAGTTGTCATCTCATTGTGCCATATGTGTTTTTCTAGGGATATGGTGAGTCTCAAAAAGGTTTTTGTTGTTTGGGAAAAGTGGCAAATAAGTCCTCGAACTAACCAAAAAAGTGCAAATCATCCCTTATATAGAAGGCTCTTCCGGCCGTCGCAATTTGGGGCAGTTCCCGGTGGAATTTTTTGATAAACTTTTTTGAGCATCTTCTTCATTAAGTCTAGTTTACCCATACAAAATTTCAGCTAACAATTCAACCGGGAAGAAAGTCAAATGGTTTTCTGAAATATACTGCGTTGTTTATCTACGCAGTTATCTTCAAAAATTCATTTGACTGCGTTCCCGATTGAATGTTTTGCTAAAATTTGGTATGAGTAAACTAGACTTAATGAATAAAATGCTCAAAAAAATAAATTAAAAAATTCCATCGGGAACCGCCCCAAATGGCGACGTCCGGACAAAGCCTCTTATATAGGGGGTGATTTGCAGTTTTTTGATAAATCTACTCGAAAGTTGTATGTTGCACGTCATGTTGTCTTTATTGAGAATATTCCTTTCTACTCCATAACTTCAGTCTCTCATAATATCACTCACTCTCATCTTCTTAGCATTGACCCATTTAGCATTCATGAAAATCATATGGACATGTCTTCTAGTGCTATCACAAATGAGGAAAATGGTGACCTTGATGATGGCTCCCCCTTGTGGCTTCTCAAGAACCTCCAGTGATTGCAGATCCTCCTCCACATCCTCCCATTCGTCCTCGATCTGATCGCATCCGTAAGTCCACTAAATTACCTGATTTTGCTTATTCATGTTATTGACAAACATTCAATGCTTTTCTATCCTCTATTCATCGTTTGTGTGAGCCCTCATCTTATGTTGAGGCATCAGGAGATCCACTTTGGAAACAGGCTATGACTGAGGAGCTTACTGCTTTAGCTAGAAGTCACACATGGGATCTTGTGTCCATGCCAACATGAAAGAAACAAATTGGATCTCGATGGGTATATAAAATCAAAACAAAGTCCGATGAGTCTATTGAACAATACAAGGCATGTTTAGTTGCGAGAGGATCTCTCAATAGTATGGTATGGATTATGATAAGACTTTTGCTCCAGTTGCCAAGATGGCAACTGTTAAAGTTCTCCCAGTAGTTGCATCTGTACGTCAGTGGCACATCTCACAGTTGGATGTTAAAAACGTCTTTTTGAATGGTGATCTCAAAAAGGAGGTCTACATGACTCCTCCACCCGGTGTTTCCCATGCTGTTGGACAAGTTTGTAAGCTTAAGAGAGCGCTTTATGGGCTCAAACAATCCCCTAGAGCTTGGTTTGAGAAATTTTCTACGGTGATTTTCTCTCTTAGTTATGCATCTAGTCATCATGATCCTGCATTGTTTATCAGGTCCCCCTCTACATGTCGTGTGTTGCTTTTGCTATATGTCAATGATATGACTATTACAGGTGATGACGTTGATGGCATTGTAGTTCTGAAAAATACTTTAGTTCGTAAGTTTGACATGAAAGACTTGGGATCATTAAGGTATTTTTTGGGTATTAAGATAGATTCTTCTCCACAAGGTTACCTTCTTTCTCAATCTAAATATGTTGCTAATATTATAGAACGAGCTTGTTTGAAAGATAATAAGTTTGTGGATTCTCCACTTGAGGTTAATGTTCGTTATTCTCCTTTTGATGGAACCCCTATAACTGATTCTACTCTATATCGTACTATTGTTGGAAGCTTAGTTTATCTTACTATTACTCGTCCATATATTGCTCATGCTGTTCAGATTGTTAGTCAATTTGTTATTTCTCCTACTTCTGTACACTGGGCCGCGGTTGTTCGTATTCTTCGCAACCTTAGAGGGACTATTTGCCAAATTAAATCTTGTTGTTTCCTTCTACCTCTTCTTTAGAGCTATCTGCCTTCTCAGATGCAAATTGGGCCGGTAACTCAACAGATCGTAAATCAACTATAGGTTTTTGCATCTTTCTTGGGGATTCTCTTATATCTTGGAAAAGCAAGAAACAAGACATTGTACGTGCCACGATATGATCTTCTATTGAAGCAGAGTATCGTGCTATGACTTCTACCACTTGTGAGATTGTTTGGTTGCGATGATTACTTGCTGATATGGGAGTATATTGTACTGCTCCAACACTCCTTTACTGTGATAACAATTAAGAGTGCCATTCAGATTGCTCATAACTCCATATTTCATGAGCGTACAAAGCACATCGAGATCGATTGTCATAATACTCGACATCATTATGAGCATGGAACCATCTCCTTGCCTTTCATTTCTTCTTCAGATCAGCTTGCAGACTTCTTTACAAAAGCTCATACTATTGATCGTCATTGGTTTTTTGTTAGCAAACTCTTGATGATCCTTGCATCATCATCATGAGTTTGAGGGAGAGTGTTAAATATTATATTAGCCATTAAGGGTATTTTGGTCATTTTATCTTGTATGTTTAGATTAGATATTGTACATATACTCTTTGTATGTTCCATATTCATCATCCGATATCAATATACGTATGCATGTCTTCTTCCACACAAGAACTTCTCTCTTCAATGGCTTTATCAGTATTATCATCAGCACAAGATAAATAAAGTAAATAGAAATCATCCACCAAGATTTTTAATAATTTTTATTATAAAATATCACTAATCTAAATATGTAAATAATGTGCAAATTGAGTTAATGCCTAAACCATTTTATTACTAGATGAGGGCCACAGAATATCTCACATATTTTATTGAATAAAAGCTAATACAAAGAGTAGGAGGGTCAGACCAAACCGAGGCCTACTCAGAGATTACAGAACATAAGGATAATTAGTAGCATCAAATTTGAGAGTACCAACAAAATGATTAAAATGATCATTTTGGTATTAATAGAAGTGCAATGATGATAAGCTAATAAGTAATCCACAACCTTATTAATTTCTAACTTGATGTGCGTTATTGTCGTGTTGTAGGTCTGAAGCTTTTTCTTATTCGTGACCAATACTTCCAATGCTGAAGTGAGTGACCCGTTATGCCTTCGTAAACCTCTTTACTACCAACCTCTAAGATTATATTAGCAAACATGTTAGTGCGGATATGATGGATTATATCAAAAATAACATCATTTATAGGTGCTTTGAAGTGGCTGAGTATGATATCCGACCGAGTATAGATAGAAGACACCCGATCGAGTATCTATGGCAGTAGTTTAGAAACTGTTAGAATCACATACACCCGGCCTTGTTTTGCTCTAACTGTTAGAATCAGATTTTCCCATGGTCTCTTGCTTTATTTGATCTTGTAAGATCTCTAGATCGAATCATACCCGACCGGATATGACTTATACCTGATCGGGTGTGACACCAAATCACACTTCTTGCATGATTTTTTGCTCCCTTGCACCTTCCTTTGATCTTGTAAGATTTCTTTTATGTTCAATTCCTTTAATTTGTTGTAGACTAATTTATTGAAGCTTAAGATCTTATAAAACTAATAAATTACAATGAAATAGAAAAATAAAAGGTTGCACCATAAATGTGCAATTACTATAACTACACACCGTAAAAATTAATTAAAAGTAAAAACATAAACACTCAAAAACCAATGCAATCACTCTGCTATCGGTTTTATAATCGAAGGGCTTGCTAAATCCCGGGAGAAATTTTTGTATGCCAGAAATAGTTCCTTTAGAGAACGTCTATCGCAACTCGAGCTACTAATATACTTTTAGTTCTTTTTAGTGATTATTCTGCAGGTCAATTTTTGAATCTAGAAGGTCAACTAGGTTGACTTAGGAGTAATAAGGTCAACACATTGATTTTGGATGGATAGAGCCAACACATACGATGGATTTTAGAGGTATCAACGTTGAATTCTTCTTCCGAATTCCATCAAGTGGCAAACGATGGACACTGACACCGGTGTGGATAAGTTTCGATCTCCTATTAAGGATGACAATATGAATTAAAGGTGACTTTTAGAGAGTGACGGTGATGGAGTTGCACGAAGGTAGTGGATGGCGACGTTGGTGTCACCGGTGTCGCCGATCATAAGAGGACAACAATATTGGAGAAGGCGGCGGTCATGCACCAGATTTGGCACATCTGGTCATGCACCTGATTTGGCACATCTGTGTAAAATTTTGTTTTATAATATTTATTACTAATGAAGAAATTAGTTTTCAACTCTTGTTTTTTTACTTCTATAAAAATCTGAAGTCTTACTTTGTCAATTTAACATGATTGACTCTTATAATATATTGAAGTCTTACTTTGACTGATTTAATACGTTTTATTTTAAGTTAGGATTTTTCTTTTCCATAAGTCAAAGTAAAAACATACTCCCTCCGTCCCTAATAACTTTGCCAAGTTTGACCGGCACGAGGATTAATAAAGTAAAAACTGTGTGGTTGAGGTTTGTGCAGAGGAGAGAGAATTAATTGGAACCACAAATTCTTTACTTAAATGGGAAAGTGGCAAAGTTAATGGGACATCCAAAAAAGGAAAGTTGGCAAAGTTATTAGGGACGGAGAGAGTAACAACAATAACAACAACAACGTGAATATATATAAGACATCTTATTTAGGTAATAAGTTTACAAACAGTGCAAATTGTAACCCTAATTTGTAAATTAATACAGATTAATTTGAATATACCCCAAAGTGTTTCAAATTAAGAATAGGCACAGGAGAACCATTCCATCTTTTCAAACAATCCAGCAATGGATCTATCAATTTTCCTTCACAAATGGCCGTGAACACCTTGTCACATTCCTCCCCCGGTGACCTCGTCAACTCGCCGGTCAACAATACCGTACCCAAATCTTCCCTCACAAACTTGTACAACGGGTAGGACCGGCAATCCCGAATGCGATTAGGAATTGCGGGCGTGCCACTCTCCACATCACCCCTCGCGCTCGCCATCGCCCTCGGCAAAACCCACCTGAGTTCCTCCTCGAAGGCGCCGATCTTCAGGAAAACAGAGCTGCTGGAGTTCCTCTCCGACTTTCCGCCGGACATGGCGTGGCCCACCAGGACTTCCCGCAATTTTGGCATCAAAGGGTAGTTTCTGCTGCATGGGTCGTCGGCGTAGGCGAAGACGTATTCTCGGTCGACCACTTTGAGTAGTTCCCCTTTACAGTCAACGGTCAACGTTATCTCCGTAGCAATACTGACAGCATTTTTTGCAGAGGCCTTCAGGTTCTCCTCTAAGTTCCTAAGGTCAACGGCTTGGCAAAGCGCAACCATGTATGTGGCAGACATAAGCTTAAGAATGTCAACCGCCTCAGCGGTCTTCCTCGACGAGATCAAACCCAGAGAGTTCACGTCTTGGTTGTGTTGCTCGGCGCTCTGGACGTGATTCGTCACCGGGTTGCCGAGAAACTGGAGCTCCGAGCAGTACGCCGCCATTGCGATCTCTGCCCCTTTGAACCCGTAATCCAAGCTCGGGTCCCGGCCACCGGAGAGATTTGATGGCAACCCGTTGTTGTATAAATCGTTGACCAGCTCGGAGAACTGGGCAAAAACCAGTTTTCCGATGGAGGCGATAGCTAATCGGACATTATCCATAGAGACGCCGATCGGCGTGCCTTGGAAGTTCCCTCCATGTAAGGCCTTATCTCTTGAGACATCTATCAATGGGTTGTCATTGACCGAATTGATTTCTCTCTCTATCATCTTCGTCGACGCTCGGATTACCTCAATCTGTGGGCCCAGCCATTGCGGCGACGTCCGAAGGGCGTAACGGTCCTGCTTGGGCTTTAATAACGGGTCGAATTCGTGGGCCTTTTGGGCCTCTTTTACATACGAGCTACCTTCTAGAATGTGTTCCATTATTGCGGCGGCCTCGATTTGTCCCGGGTGGTGTTTCAATGTATGGGTCAAATGGTCGGTGAATTCGGGCTTTCCGTGCATGACCTCAGCAAAAAATGCCGACAAAACCTCCGCCAAGAGCACCAAAACATTAGCGTCAAATAACACAATCGATGCCAGGCCGGACCCGACGGCAGTTCCATTCACCAACGCCAGGCCTTCTTTGGGCTGCAGCTCGAAAAACCCGGAACCGATCTGGGCCTCTCTGAACGCCTGTTGTGCATTTAGAGAGTCCCCGTTCGGGCCGACAGCTTTGGAGTTGGCCCGGCCAGTTAAGATCCCAGCAATGTATGAGAGCGGGACCAAGTCGCCAGATGCTGTGATGGTCCCACGGAGAGGGAGGCAGGGGGTGATGTCATGGTTGAGCAGCTTGGTCATAGCTTCCAAGATCTCGAACCTGATGCCGGAGTAACCCTGGAGCAAGGTGTTGACCCTGACTAACATGGCGGCCCGGGGTGGCGGAGTCGGGCAGCGTGTGGGACGATTCCGTCCCAAACCCGAATATCCCAGCATTCAAGAACCTGTTCAAGTTAAAGTTAAATTGCAATTAACACAAAATTTCATGTTCAAAATCAAAATATAAAGAAATAAAGAATGGGAGATTTGCAATTTAATTCCCATAACTTTGAGTTGTGATTGTTACTAGTTATGTAATTAGTTATGCAATCAAGCACTAAAGGAATATTTGTGATTGCTTCTACTTTAAAAAGTGAATTTTTGAAGTGATTTTGTAGAAATTGTTTAATAGTAAAAATTAGGGAGTATTAACAAATTTAATATTTAGACTCGATATTCTATCCTAAAAGGTCAATCTTTTAACAATTTATTCTCATAACTTTGATTAATGTTTGAGAAAAAAGTGCTTTTGAAAAGTAAAATTGGGTAGTGTTTAATAAAATAAGTGATTTTGTGTGATAGAAAAAATGAAAAGCACTTTAAAACACCTCTCAACTTGCTTCTAACTTTTAGTGTTTAAGTGTTTAATTTAAGTAGAAACTGCCACTCAAAAACTCTCATTTCAACATTTTTAAGCGAGAAACTAAAAATCACTTTTTTTAGCAGCAAAATCACTTTTTTTAAATCTCTTAACTTGCAAATACTCCCATGCATATATAAATGCATATACTACAAGAAAGTGCATTTTAATACGAAGAAACAAACAACACCTGAGCTATGCTGATCAATCCTATCATCCTAACTTCTAAAAAACTTTCCCAGTGACTTTCTATCCTTCTATGACTCATTTTTCATGTCATATAGGAACACCATTAAGTTGTCATTCCCAGCGGTCTGCCACATGATGAGAAGCTGATTCTTGTTTGATAAATTACCAAAAAACATTAAGGCCATACCGATGAGAAGTTGTCATTCCCAGTGGTCTGGTAAATGTCTGTATTAAGTGTATTTTAAAATTATCTAAGTCTGATTTAATGTAATCCATTTAAGATCAGATTGATCTGATCTGAGATTGAAACTATTTCAATTCAAAACATTCTAAAAATACGAGTACAAAAAAAAAAAATAATAAAATAATGATAATAATAATAATAATAATAATAATAAAAGTTGGAAACTCGAGTAAAAATAATAATAATACAAACAAATTGGAGAAAGGGTACACTGTCGATAATAATGGAGTAAATCAATATTTTCAATCGCGAATTTCAAATAAATATCGGTACTGAGCGTGGCGGCTCTGACGGATATCACTGGTTAAAGGTGGAGTAGGGATCGAATATCAGCAATTTTTGACGAAGAAAGGAAAACCATCACTAATATCCCAATTAGCATGCAAGATAAGAAGGATGGCCATTGACGGAAAGGGGAAAATAATGGAAATTTTACCGTCAAAAGTTGCTATCGGACCTTAATGCAAGGGACAGTAACTAGCCGTTGGAGCGGCTGGAAAGATTTTTAGGATTTAAAAATTCCACCAAAGATTTAAAATTTTCTTTGGCAGGTCTTAGATGGTTCACTACCATCATTGGCGAATCTGGAGCGCAGTGGAGTGGCGGTGCATAACTTGTGCAAAGTGTGTGAGCAAGAGGTTGAGACCACAGAGCATGCGCTGAGGACCTGTTCGAGAGTTGCAGAGGTTTGGGCGGAGGCCGGCGTGGGGATAGGCAGTTTGGAGGAGCCCCTGGTTGATAGGCTCCAAAAGCATCTTTCAGCACCCGATGAGAAGGCATGGTGCAGAGTGACAATGCTCGTGTGGGGACTTAATTTGGAAAAGGTGGGGTTTTGTAATATGGGAAGGCGGGCGGGGGGGGGGGGGGATAGTTCGACGGGAGTAATTAATTGCTGCTCCAACATGTTGTTGGCTTGGAAGGAGGCGCAACTCACCAATTCGAAACCGAGAGGCTCAGGGAGGAATGGGATATGGGAATCCAAGGTGGCAACGTTCAAAAGCGGGAGGAATTAGAGCTTGGGGTTGGATTCCAAGAAATGAGCAAGGGGAGTTTATTAAAGCTTATAGAGAATCATGTAAGGCGGAATGGTCTCCGGCCGAGGCAGAAGCGGTGGGCATCCGAGAGGCAGTTTTAGGGGCTATATATAAAGGAAGGATGGGAAAAGGTTGATATTGAGTCCGATGCACAGGTAATTTTCAGAGGCATTCAGAAAGGGGAGGGCTAAGAAGCTGTTCTCTTCGCCTGATCTGAATGTTTCTGATCTGATTTTTTAAGTTCTGATCTGATCTGATCTGAATTTTTCTGATCTGATCTGAATCTTTCTGATCTGATCTGATCTGATCTGATCTGAATCTTTCTGATCTGATCTGATCTGAATCTTTCTGATCTGATCTGAATGTTTCTGATCTGGTCTGATCTGATCTGAATGTTTCTGATCTGATCTGAATCCTTCTGATCTGATCTGAATCTTTCTGATCTGATCTGATTTGAATATTTCTATGATTATAATTATAATTATAATTATTATAATTTCAATTACAAATATAATTTAAATAAAATTATAATTATAATCGTAACTATAAAAATAATAATAATAATAATTAAAATTAAATTTAAAATGAAAAACATTTATACTTATTACACTAATTATAAATATAGATATAATTATAATTGTAATTATATTTTTAATTATAATTACTTATATAATTATAATTGTAATTATGATTACAATATTTATCTCTATAATTGTAACTATAGTTATCAATATTATTACAATTACTCCGTAAAATAATTACAATAGTAATAATAATAATAATAATAATATTAATAATTATAATCATAAATTATAATTATAAGTATAATTATAATTATTATAATTATAATTAATAATAATTATAATTATATTAACATTAATTATAATATTATAATATAATAATAGTAATATAAATACAATTAATATTATAATAATGATATTATTATATTCATATTATTATTACAATAATATAATAATAATAATATGATTATTATTATTATAATTAGTATTATATTATTATAATATTATATTATAATTATAATTATAATCATAATTATAATTATGATTGTAATTATAATTATAATTATTATAATTATAATTAATTACAATTATAATTATAAATATTTATAGATATAATTATAATAAATACAATTGATTATACTTATAATTATAAGAATTATAATTGTAATTATAATTATAATTACATATAATTATAATATAATATTATATTAACATTAATCATATTATTATTATATTGTAATAATAATAATAACAATAATAATGATAATGATAATGATAATGATAATGATAATGATAATGATAATGATAATGATAATGATAATGATAATGATAATGATAATGATAATGATAATGATAATGATAATGATAATGATAATGATAATGATAATGATCATGATAATGATAATGATCATGATGATGATGATGATGATGACGATAATAATAATAATAATAATAATAATAATAATAATAATAATAATAGTCTTCTTAATAATTACATTTATATTACTATTATTATATTAAAATATTATAACTATTATTAATATCTTATTTTTTTTATCATATTATTATTAATATTATTAATAATAATTATATAATAATAATAATCATAATTATAATAACAATATTAATAATAATAATTAATATAATAATAAAAGTGATAAATCATGTTTGAACTTTTCTGATCTGATCTGATCTGAATGTTTCTGATCTGATCTGAATGTTTCTGATCTGGTCTGATCTGATCTGAATCTTTCTGATCTGATCTGAATCTTTCTGATCTGATCTGATCTGATCTGAATCTTTTTGATCTGATCTGATCTGATCTGAATTTTTCTGATCTGATCTGATCTGATCTGAATTTTTCTGATCTGATCTGATCTGATATGAATAAAATAAGAATAAGCAATAAGTAATAAGAATAAGACGAACAGAACAGCACCTAAGCGTATACGGATTTGGTTATTAATGATATCTGTTTTTTGCTTCAAACAAAGAGGAATTTTGGAATCTCTTTTTGTAAATGATTTGCGAATCGTGCTACTCACACATTAGCTAGAGCTCACGCTGCAATCTCGGATCATAGTAGTAGTTATAATGGGATACCAGAGTGCCTAGTGGGAGGTCTCGAGTTCAAAACTCGTTAGGCACATAAAGGTTCAAAACTCAATGGAGTGAGTTTCACTCATGATTACTCCAGGGCTCCAGGCCCCCCAGCTTCCCTCCCCCAGCCCCTAGAGAGTAAAAAAAGGGATACCGGAGTGCATTGTAGGTCATGTAGTGAAAGACTCTTAAATTTAATGAAAGGCTTGTGATTCGGTTCATAAAAGTAAATATCCTATCGGTACTTAAATGTCAAGCCACCCTACAAATTCAAAATATAGACTAACAATATGTCTAAGTTAGACCAAATTTTCAATCTGGCCATGCTAACCACCAAAACTGAGGCGACTCCCTCCTAATCAACGCAAATGGTTCATAATTACTATGGCAAAACTACTTTGTTTTGGAAATTAGCCACACCCACCCACGACCAACCTCACCAGACATGTGCAATAAAATATTTATACGAATCCACCGACTTGTACAGTTGTACCCACCCCCACCCTAAAAGGCAAGTTCTCCATAGTCCATATAAACAAATAAGGTAAATACACAACTGTTGCAATTAATTTAACGCAATTTATTATAAGAATGTATGCCATCTTCATTTTTAAAGTAGAATGTATGTCATCTAAAAGTCTAAATTCTAAAACAAGCATTTTTGCGACTTTGCTTTGTTTTAGAGAAGTAAAGAAAGTACAATTTTTAATATGAGTTTCTACGTAAGTAAAAAAACGAGTTTCTACGTGTACTTTAAAAGTTCAAATATGCATGTTTAAAGTTGGTGTAAACTTTTCTTTAATGTGATTTTTAGGGCTCAAATTTCAACATATTAGTACGTTATAAAAATTGTTAAAAATTAATATTTATAAATTTCACATTAAGAGAAATTTAATGATCTTCTATTCACATATGATCTACTCCCTCCGTCCCGTTGGAATGTTCCCGGTTTGACCTACACACATATTAAGGAAATAAACTTACCAGGGGGTAAATTTTACTGTTTGGACACTGTTTGGACACTGTTTGACACTGTTTGACACTGTTTTGCACTGTTTGACACTGTTTTGATGTAGGATAACTTTCCATTTAGGGAAATGAGAACTTTCCATTGGGACATCCAAAAAAGGAAAGTGGGAACATTCCAACGGGACGGAGGGAGTATATATTAGTAGAAAATCGTGATCAAGATAATTAAGGTGTGTGAATAGTGCAAAATTGAACGTATTGCAAGTTGCAACTATTAAACAACAAAAGAAATATAAAATATTAAAATAAAAAATAAATAGTTAAAAAATAAAATTCAAAATTAAAATGTAAAAAGTAAAAAAAAAAAAATTGAAAACCAAGATATTGATTGTCGACACTTTTTACTTTTTACGGTTATTGTTCTATATATATATTTCATGTCATCATTTTCTTAATATGTCGTCATTTTCTTAATATAACAAGTCAAAAACTTGTAAATGTGAACAATTGATTTTTTAAAAGTGAGTATCTACTTTTTTTTATATGTATATGTACAGTAGGCTATTCAAAAACTATTTAAAAATTATGATTTTATGGTGAAAAAGGTCAACAAAAGGAGTGAGTGGATTTAAACAACTCTTGTCTTGTAAGGGCATCGAGAATCATTAAGAGATTAAGTAAGTGACATGACAGATTTTTTAAAGGAGCATCATTGAGAGACATAAATTATTTAGTGAGATTATTTGCTACAATAATCCGGGATCAAAATATGAATCCAGATTATTTTAAGATTATTTAAAAAGTATATGTAATAGAAGTTAATGCAGGAACGAAAAAATCGGATTATTTGAAGATCATGGTTGAGAGACATAAACGAATATTGAGATTATTTAAACATTAATTATATAACAATATTTAAAAGGTAAGAATAATAGAAAAAATTGATTATTAGAGATCATGAATAGAGACGCTCTAAGAAAATGAGGAGTCATTAAAATCTCAGTAATACTTCTCCAAAAAAAGAAAATCTCGGTAATACTTGGTCAATTAATGGATAATTTAATGCTATTAATCAACAAGCCAAATTTGAACCGCATATCTTGCAAAAAGGAATCATAAATTGTTCACTTGGCCAACTGAACAATTTATTACGCAGTGCCTTTAGGATGTTTTCTCTTACACTGAAATTTGTTGATCTGGTCTGATCTATTTAAGTCTGATCTGGTTTGAATTGGTCTGGTCTGGTAAACATCTGGTCTCTGTGCATTTTATAACTACGGAAGTCTGGTCTGTTTAAGTCTAGTCTGGTCTTATCTGATCTGTTTAAGTCTGGTCTGATCTGGAACGGAAAACAGTCCAAAAGAAAACATCCTTATCCTTATTATAACTTTTTCTTTGGTTGTTGATCCGGAACAAAATGCCTGAGGTTAATTACTAAGTAATCACTTATGCGCAATTGCGCATGTGTATGCATATTGTGTTTGTTAAATAAAATAAAAAAGAGATAATTCCAAAGGAGTAAAACGTGATAAAAAAGTAAGCACTTCAATTCATTCCTCTACAAAATCGTAATAGCACTTCTCTAGATGACACTTTCCTCAACAATTTCCTTGCTGGAAATGAGGGAGGCAATCAAGGTGGTGGAGAATGAAGAAGTATCTGTGGTTCAAGTTTAATTTATGTAATGAACAATCTTTACGTTTATTTGTCATGCTTTTGCTTTGTATTAACTCTGTTTTTGTACACTCTTGAAGTGGTATTTCATGGATCGTTTTCAAATTTACTTGTGCATTGACAGTATTTCACTATTTTGGTGACACTTTCTGGATGCTACAAAACCCACATCTAACTGAGATTGAATTGCAAAAAACAGGAATGCATTTCCAACAACAGTTATCCGTTGGAAGCTTATAAATATATTTTTTCTGTATTAAATTTCCAACAGATTAATTGGTTGGAAATCTGTTGGCCTATAAAAT